GTATGCTAAACTACTCAACATGTGAACAGGATACTGTCTGCAAATGTGCGTTTAACAAAGTTTATTTAGAATTGTTGAAAACGGAGATAGGTTGAAATAACAAATTAATATCATCGTCAGTTCGATCTGGCGTTCTTCGTGTGGGGCACCCTTTAGTGCTTTGTTGTTAAAGCTCTGTGGCTGGCAGGCATGGTGCTTCTTTCATCGTTCCGTGCACAGTATGAGAGCCCTCGTGTACAAATAGTAATAATTAAAATATGAATAAAGAAATGAATTGTTGAAATGTCATTACATGTTTTTGATATCCCCGACGGGTAATATTCTGTTAATCCATAATGATATTTGTTCATTTTATTCTTTCAAGGATTGTCTCAGTATGAAAATCGAAATATTAGGATACTCTGTTCACTTAGTTTACTATATTAATTGAGTGGATGAATGGTAAAATATAATTGTTACATATGTTCCTTATCGGATTCATTTGAAGAGAGACAGATCGGTACAAACACATATTCATAAAGGTAAAGAGGAAATCGATGATATGGATTTCGACCATGCTTATGCTTAATTAAATGTTCCATGCGAAGCCTGGACCAAAATGAAAATTAAAATGAGAGTCTAGTTCACCAACTGGGAACTATTTTTAAAATGTATCCCATTCAATTTTTGATTGCATGATATTTTAATGAGAAAAACAAATTGTGTGTTTGGTGCAATAGAATTCTTTCGATTATGTTAACCGTATTAGTTAACAACGTTTTATATGTTAGTGCATCATTGAGTAGATTTTTCTGACAAAGTTTTACATTCTAGATGATTTACGAAATATTTCATTCAAGCCTCTCAATAACTTACACAGAGTATTTTCCCTACAAACATTCTATTTTTCCAACACAATTGTCTCATTAGTAGATTGAGTAAATATCAAATTAGTTCAACCAATTCAATTGCATTCATTCCAAAATATGTTTATGTTCAATTTACAACATTTTTATAAAGCATCGCCTAAACTATTATTACGATCAGAGTAATGAGCACACTTGTCAAATGCTTCCAAGTCCTCAGCGACGGAATAGGAACTTCTAGTAAGTATATAGGAACAGCAGAGAAGGCAATAAAACTAAATGCGTGTCAGGTCTAGGGTAATAGTTTACTACAAAAAATGAATTAGAAAGATAAAAAAGTAGAATACAACGACAATATATTAAGTGGTTTTACCATAGAGCTTTTAATAAATCTAAAATGTCGTAATGACTATTTTTGTAATAAATCTAAAATGTCGTAATGACTATTTTTGTCGTTTATTTTAATTTGATAATGGCACCAAGGATGGAAATTTGCATGTTTAACATCAATTTCAAGGAATTTCCATGAATATTGCATAATCCTGTATTGTATACCCTTATTCAATGTATTTGAAGACGATTATGCTCGTCGGAAATCATCCAATTTGTGTGAAGTAGTCTTAATTTACCACATGGTGTCCGCACTGCCTCAACCCCAAAAACTGTGCATCGATCAGGATCTATGTAACAGTACTTATAGTCATTATTGGAGCATGTAACAAATTTACAGGAAATAATTAAATAATTCTTTTGGATGTCCATATAGTCCGATCATCTGACAACTCCCATATTCTCCAGAATGACAATGCCAGATAATTTCGTTCGGTGCGATCTGGAAGGAACATATGCAATGGTCGAAACTGCTCGGAGAACGATACATTTTACAGTGTCTGATTTCTTCGCTGATTGTTCACATACCAATCCATAGTACCTTTCATTCATTTCCCGTTTCTACATTGACTCAATATGAAAAATATTTCGTTCTGAGAATGGCATTGTTCTAAACAGACAATTAATTGATTACCAGTAAAATATTTAAATAGCAAATGAATTTTTTTGTGCCTAATATTTGATATAATTGGAAGATATGGATCCGTAGAAAAAACAATGTGAATGTCTTCACGTGGCTTTGGGAAGATTTTGTGCAGAGCTTCGACCGAAATATATTTCTGAAATTATCTGACTTTTTTACTTAATTCATAAGATTAATTGGATAATCCTCTCATTCAAAGAAGAACTAATCGAAACGGTACTATCATGACCACAACCTTATCGACCAGCAAAGGCAAAAATTATTTTACCAATAAACGATTTACATAGACCAGATTTTTTTCAGTCTTCTGAACTTGTATCGTCTCCACCATGAATCTGAAAACCCATCAATCAGAAAGGATGAAACCTATCATCAGCCAAGAAATTTTGAGAAATATCAATGATCTGATTTTAATGTTTTCAACAGAAGATTTTATCCTGTCATAGGACCATACGAGTATATAGCAATATAATATACTGGTATACAGCAAAATTTATAAAGAATCAGAACGAATTCGCGAGAGTAGAAAATGCAGATTGTACAAGAAATAAGCGATTGTAAAATTATTATGTTAAAGTGTGTATCGGAGGATACAGAATGATTTGAACAGCTGAAAAATACTGATTGAACGATTTTAACTATTAGATAACTCCATTGTCCGATGCGACTGTAGGTACAATGCCAAATTAACTTCAGGATATTGTGCATTGATGTGTATCGTGCGTACAGTTTTTTTCTTTGACACGCCACCAATATGCTTTCAACAGAAACCCCATGACATGACCGGGCTGAAATACGAACATCATCGATCTAAACGTCATAAGCGCCATTAAAAGTCGTTTTTACATAATCTTCTCCGATTTCGTGGGACTGGCGATACATGTAACGTTTATCTTCAAATTCCCCATGCATGCGTTCCTTTTATTTTGTCGACAAGAGCACATGAGCACCCAAACATTAATATCAAATGTGTTAAATAAATGCGTATCCTCCAACGCAAATGCATCAGAAGATACAAGTGCTCTAAGGGAAACCCGTATTAAATCATGCCACACTTGTACAATTGTACAGTAAGAGCATTGTACAGGTGTATAGGACTCGCTCCAAATATTCTGCGGCTAATATTTTCAAACGATTGTGTTGAATCGAATACATTTTAGATTTATGATTATTCAATACATGTTTATTTCTAATTTGAACATGATTGTCAATCGTGTTAATCATGTTCTTTTTTAATAACTTCAATCAATATTCAAAAGAAAAAAACATAATTTTTCATTTTCTACTGATATTCCGAAATCAGCAACAGGAAAACGTGAGAACGACGGTGACGTGAACGAAATCATGAAATATATTTGTGTTTCCTAATACAATTCAACAAATTATTGCCATATTTGTATTTTCAATTCCAATCTTTCTTTTTTCCGATGTATCAATTATCGTTAAAAGTAAAGTAATATTCGCATGTGTATATTCAGATAGACTAGTGTTCCAAAATGTATATGAATACCTCACCAACATCCAAAAGTTGAATTTTAAATAACTTCCTGCATCACATTTTTAAAATGACATATCGGGAGTAGGTACGAAAAATTTCGAACGGAATGCGTGACATATACGTAATTCGCGTGAAAAATCCGAACGGAATGCGTACATTTTTCTCCGGCGTTCGTATTTTTGCTGTGTAGACGATCTTTTTTAGAAATTTTTCTACAGAAACATTTTTGCTTGACAATTACCAGGTAAAATGCGTATTTGCGTGACATTTTCTGTCACGCAAAAATAACTGGCGTGACTTCAAATTCTTCAGCAAATGCGTGACAAATACGCAAATTGCGGGACAGTTGACAGGCCTGAATCTGAAACTTAACAGAAAAGTTACCTGATGAAACTTTCAGATGTGCATAATAATTAAATTGTCTCTCAGATGACGAAATTTCAAGACTATCCCTTCATCACTCACATAGTTATTCGGTGTTTAGGCTATCATGGTAAAACTTTTGGAACACCCCGTACATATTAAATGGCTCGTTCTAAAGAAAGGATATAAAAGAACTGAGTGGAGGAAATATTTCTGAGCTCTTCAAAACGAGACTTCCGATGTAAGCATCAAAGGAAAAATCACAGGAAATTCTATGTCATGTGATGCGTGTTCAACCGAACACAGAATGAAAAAATATTGTAGGGAGATAATGAAAACAAATATGCAGATCGCAGACACAGTCTGTATTGCTTCTTTAGAATTTACAGTACCACAGTAAATACAATGCACTTTGTTGAGATTTGACATTTACCAATCGACCTTGACCTACATTAGAGCATCAAAATTGTCTTCCCAAAAATCACAAAATTTCGGTACTATGATGTTGTAGTTGTCATCCCAAAAATCACAGAATTTCGGTGTAAGGTCCATGATAGTGTAGTTCAATGACACGAAGTAATTTCGAAGTGGACTATATCTAATCATGATCCATATCGAGACCTTGGACAATTTATTGATATTACCCTTATATAAACAAAAATAGCGATTTATATAATGGTCTTTCTGATGAAGGATTTAATTTATCTGAATCAGGTTGCCTTATAATGAGAAAAAACATAAAACAAACCAGATAATCAAACAGCCCGCTATCCAATGAACCATGCTGAAATTGCATAGTTAATCACTCAATATAATCTTTTCTTTATCCTATGTACTACTGATCAGACTGATACAACGAGCTTGCTCTGTGGCATGGGGCTATGTACAGTAAAAATTTAAATGTTAGGAACTTGAATTTAAAAAATAAGCAATCAAATGGCTATATTGCAACAGTATATGAAAAATGGAAACATATGTACAAGTCCTAACTTTTTTATATTTCAGATAGTTATGTAAGCTTATAATGTGCAGCAAAGCTGTGGCCTTTGTAATTTAGCCTAGGGAGTTTCAGCCATGTTAAATTTCGAAAATAACATGGCAGAGAACCACCGATATGATAGCTAAACTATAAAACAAACTAAAATACGATCGCATAAGCAAGGCAAAACAATTTTTTAAAGATTTTTTTTGAATTTAACAAAAATTTATGCAATTCCTTAGCTAGTAGCTTCAAATAAAAAGCAAATAAAGCTTGCTGGTTATGAGGTCGGGTGCCCCATTGCACCCACCTAAGGTAAGCCTAAGGTAAGCCTAAGGTACATGAGGCAATCAAAAAGGCTTACAAACTCCAATCGGGATTGAGGACGCTTTGAACAAAACCAGATCCTAAATTGATTTGAAAATATTTGATAATGATAGAGGAGCAAATCAAAGTATTCAAGAAAATATTGATGGCATTGATATTGAAAGAGTCTGCGTGGTAAAACTACGAACAACCCTTCGTTTTGATATTTCGACCGTTCGTTTAATTGACGCAATATTGCAGACGCCATTTTCGACTTTGATTTGCTGATTTCCCGTTTTCTCTTTTCAGGTTTTGTACGATGGTTGTCTGATGGATGATGGAATCGATCAATGTAAGAAGTATTGTGTGTTATATAGATGCAACTGATACTATAAAAAGGATATATAAGGCTAAATCCAAGCTAATCTGTGGCTCAGTCTGAAATTTTGTGAAGTTTCAAAAATTCATAATAAGATCATCTTGAAGATGAAATTTCAAATTGAAAATGAAAGACTTGCCTCAGTCATGTCAGTCCAATATTGAATTTTAGGAAATAATTAAATTCCAAAAACGCGCATATCAGATATGTTCATCATCTAAATCGAGCATCACTGGTGGAGATGGGGCCCATGAGGGGTGGTGTGGTAGGCTTAACCTTTTCTTTGCCTCATGGGTTTGTAGAAAAAACCAGGTACCGGGTAGTAAATCCTCCATGCTGGGTTCAAACCTGGTACCCGGTCGAAAAAAATGGGTACCCAAAAAACGAAAAATACGAATATATAACATATAAGTTAACATAAGAAAGCCTTTGTCGTTTTCACCCAATTTTTTGACATGAATATAGTAATATTTGAAAAACATGACGAATCAATCTTACTCTATTTTCAATAGTTTGTATGTTGGTACGTGAATTGTCTTGATTATGATTTAAATCTGTAAATAGCTATCGTTACTTTAGCAGAGAGGTGACGTGTGTTAATTTACATAATCATAATTTAAGTTATCCCAATTTTCGACGAAACGTCCACTGAAGTGTAAATTGTTACGTCTTACAATGTCATAGGCGTAGCCAAGAAGGGTTGCGATGATCGCACCGCCACCCCCCCCCCATAACCAATGAAAATAAGACCATGATGATAGAGGAAGAAAAGAGCCTTAAAATGCTTTTTATTTGAAGCTTCTGGCTTAATTTTGAAGGAAGTTACATACATTTATGTAAATTCAAAACAAATCTTAGTCGTTGCTTATGCCACGATCACACACCCCCCTGACTGAAAGCTGGCTACGCCCCTGAATGTACTTTGTGTGTTTGAAGTGATGATGTCGTGCTGATGATGTGTCATGTCGTGCTGATGACGTAAATAAAGGGATTGCAAGCTTTATTCCTGCTCTAGTCTACTGCAAAGAAACGTATGTTTTACATACCCGTTTTTGGGGTACCCGGTTTTTTCGACCGGGTACCGGTTACCAAGTTTGAACCCAGCATGGAGGATTTACTACCCGGTACCCGGTTTTTTCTACAAACCCTTGCCTCATTTTCAATGTAAAAGGCATGATTGTTTGCATGTCATGTGTGACTCAATTTTTGACTTCTGATTTTCATTCCAGTTGTGGCTGTTGGTGACGCTGATATCTCAATTGGATGTCCAAACCAGCGGTCAATGGCTAATTCCAGCGCAATGTCCGCCTTGCAAATGCACCCAGGAATATTCTCAGTATCTAAAGAGAGAGGCCAGAATAGCTAAATGCAACCATACTCCACTAACATCATTACCTTCACTTCCACACAATGTGGAAGAAATTTATCTACATGATAATGGTTTTCAGCAATTTCCACCTGATTTACTGAACCGTTTTGATGAGCTTAAAGTGTTCTGTGTTGCTGATAATAAAGACTTGAGGACTCTTCCAGAGGAACTGTTCCAGGGAACACCCTCACTTGAGCGTATAGACCTTAATGATGTTACGTTTGAAAGACTCCCCAGTGACCTTTTGAAAGGGTTACTGCAACTTGAGAAAATAAGTGGATTACGTTTGACATCATATCCAGTTGGGCTGTTTGAAAATCTCCCAAATTTGAAAGAACATACATTTATCGCAACAAGGGAGAACCTAAATGGAGATATTTTTAGCGGATCTACTATTGAAAAACTAACTTTAGAACTGGAATCCGTCAGGATCTTAAATGGTTCATCATTAAGTGGATTAGGGGAATCCTTGAGCTCATTAAAAATAACTGGTGATGCATTAGACACTTTATCACCAGAGTTTTTGCAGCCTTTAACCAAATTAGAATCATTTTACTTAACAGTTAAAAATGTTACTAATCTCTCAAAGGAAGCATTTACATTGGTGAATGATAATCTGGCAGAAATAATTATAGAAAATGTGAACTTTGTCGATAGTGACACATTTAAAAACATGTCTGGATTGGTTAACTTAACTCTTCACAATGTAGATAAAATCCACCCAGATGCATTTGGTGCACTGCAACTTAAATCATTAGCAAACTTAGATTTGTCAAATAACAGATTATTTACCCTTGAGTCATCATGGTTTGCTTCAATGACTGCTCTGAGGACAGTAAGATTGGATAATAATAAGATCACTACCACCCCAGATGTGCTATTTGATCACAAAACACACCACAAACTAGAGACTATCACTCTCACGGGAAATCCAATCATATGTAATTGTGCTTTAGCAACAATTGTGCATTTTAGTGAACATGCTAGTGACCTGAATGTTGAAGGAAATTGCTCCGCTCCAGAGAAATTTAGAGGCTATCCCATGGGTAATCTGAAAGTTGCTGATATATGCAATTTTGGTAAGAATTTTTCAAATCAACAGATTATGTTTATAGAGGTACAGATCATACATGTACATGTACATGAGGGTCCCGGTCCCAGTCACCACAACAAATGATTCCCATCAGGACTTATTGGTCAAACTTTTAAGAAATCTGAGTTTATAGACACAAATCAGACTCATTGACCTTAAAACAATTTCTTATTTTTACAAAAATTTAATTTATATCTGTGAATATCATGTGCCTGGTATACATTGGTGCACTACTTTAGAAAGCAAAAATATATCCCAGGCATCAAAGGTCAGTAACTCATATTGAATTGATTAAGCCAACAGCAACTGATGTGACTGACACAGTTAATCGAATTTAGCACAGGTGGTAGAGCTGACAGAAATTGCTAATTTGATTCCAAATAACACATAATTCAGAACATGGTGAAAAAAACGAATTATGTAACTTGATTTAAGACATACAAGAAGTTGTCTGGTTTTGAAACCATTTTCAAGTTCAACAATGGTTTGTCAGTTGTTCATGATATGGTTAATTCAGTTAGAGGTTCCAATTTCCAGTGCCAAATTAGATTACTTAATTTGGCAGAGAGGATAACTCTTAAAGTCCCTCTTCAGTGATCTTCCAAGCATTGGAGCATGCTGTTCTCAATGAAAATAGGCTTGCTCTCACTTGATAACACATAGACATCCACATGGAAATGGGAAAATAGTGAAAAAATGGAATATGTGTATATTTGATTTGATGAAATACTAGATAGAGTATAGAACACTGAGTGACACTGGGCCTTGGCACAAATGGGGAAGTTTGCAAAGTCAATTATATCAAATTAAATCATTCAGTTAAAGTCATTTATACCAATGTCTATAGGTATAAAATAGGGATCTCAAAGCAAAATAGCATATGCATGATTAAGTGAATAGATAATATTCACTATAAATGACTTAGACAATATCAAGATAATTTTCATTTTGCCATAAGTTTAAAAATTTGAATTATTTACATTTATTGAATTTTTTTGATTGATTTCAGAATTGTGGCAAGTGTGGCGTAACAGTTGCCTAAGTGGACACAATGACAGAATAATAGAGGCAGCGAGCAAGATAACAATGACCTTGGATATGTGCATGTATGAGTGTAGGAATGAGAGGTCCTTCCTGTGCCGATCCATTGATTTCAACTCCGATATAAAGACATGTTATTTGAGCAAGCATTGGTCGGGGAATGCTCCAGTGGGAAAGTGTCTTTACAGTGGTGTAGACTTCTGGGACAGGATTTTGGCAGGTGAGGGAATATTAGTGATGTGAAATTGAAACAAAAGAAAAAGCTCAATTTCCCATGAAGGAGAAGTAAATCCTCCTTTAAACACAGATATATTTTATTTATGATCCAATTAATTATTTTGTTTTTGACCCCAGTGACAATGAGTGGGCAAAACACTCCTGTACACAGCCCATGCAGAGAAATTCTTCAATTTGAGGCATTCATTTACATTTGGCAATAACGTTATGAATCATTTATATTTGAACTTGAAGTGAGATTTGATTTAAAAATTAACCTTAACCATTTTACCAACATTTCAGGGTAATTTTTTACCAGACTGGACTGAAAGTTGCATTTTCCAAAATTCCATAATTTGTGTATTCTTATTCAGAATTTGATGTATCTATTCATGCAAGTTCATTATTTGAGTCATTTCTTGATTGCTTTCATTTATCAATGATATCCTGTTTTTTTAATGCACCCTGTATTTACTTAAAAATGGAGGATGAAAAAGGGCCTATTGACCATATTTCTTGAAGCTGTGTAGAATTAAGATAAGACAACATCTTGAAATTGATCAGACTTACATTATTACCTGATTTTTTGACATTTATTTTACATTGACAAGGGATTTGTGTGATAAATGTTTTCAATTATAATTCTTGGACCAGATGTCCATTTAGGTTATTTATAGGAAGCAGTGAATCTCTTGGGTCTAAACCCTAATGTAAACATAAAATATACTACATCACAATTATATAAGTTGTCATTCTAAATCATGACCAAGGATTTTGACACTATCCTGCTCTACCTCTTGTATCACATAGGCAAAGCCAGGGGGTGTGATTGGTGCGAACACACACACCATAACCAATAAAAATACAACCATTAGATAGAAGAAGAAAGGAGTCTTATGCTTTTTGTGCTTTTTATTTGAAGCTTCTAGCTCAATTTTGAAGGATATCAATTTTTGAAAAATTAATTTTTTGGCTGACTGAAAACTGAAAAATTTATTTTGGCGATCACCCCCCCCCCCCCCCCCCCCCCCCTACAAAATAGTCTACATCTTTCCTTGTTAGATATTTTAATGCATGACAACTCAACTACATGTAGGTCCTATCAAATCACTTTTTTCCATTCAAAGGAATATTTGTGTTCCAGAGAATCTTCCTGATGTTAACAGTCAAAGCTGTCCTGTTGACCCAACTGAAGGTATGTCATGCATCTACATCTACAATGCACTTCATTGTTGTTACACTCCCCACCAAAAGTTTGGTAACTTTTGATAACTTGAAGTCCTCTTTTGGTGTTATGTCACCAACAAAAGAGGGGGCATCTTGTAATAGTCTCCAACTATTTTGTGAATGGTGTTTGATGGGTAATGTTTGGAGTTCAGCAGGTGGTGCAGGTGGCGTCTGTAACAAGTGGCGGATGGTGATAATTTACATGTTAATGCTTTGTTTATTTATGTTTTGCAATCCTTAGAAATTTACCACTCAATTTCCGGCCTATAGTAATTGAGGAATAGATTAAAAATGGGATTTTACCATTGTCACTTACCACTGGGTCTAGGAACAATTGGAACCTTGTGAATCAAAATGGGACTTTCCATTCGGGACTTCCATTTACCAAACTTATGGAGTGGAGTGTAAAGTTGCCTTTCTCTGTCTGATACATCACAGAAAATTAATTAATTTTGAAATAAGAAAGCCAAATTAGAATGACAGAATGAAACAATTCAGACAGTCATAAACCATAATAAAACTCGATATTAGAAATCTTAAATATAGACCATTAAATGATAATAAGATTTTCTATGCATATTTTTTACTATTTATAGAGCTGAGAAGACAAGATCTAGAATAGCTCAAAGAAAACAAAAATAGAAACAATGTATTCTTTCCATTAATTTGGCCTTGATTTGACTAAATGCATTGCTAACAAAGTTATCTATGTTCTCACAAGTTTTTTAACATTTGCTGATCAAAGATGCAGTTACATATTTTCAAGAGATCTATCCAAGGAATTACGCGCTTCAGATGTCACTTGTGAAATATAGATAATTTGATTGATAAATGATCAGCATTTACCATCTCAATTATTCATATGACGTGATTGTTGACACCTTGCATGTTGTCACTGGGAAAAAATATTGAATTTTGAAAACGCCATAAGTAAACTGCCAATTTGATTATATGGAATTCATTCAATTTATAATGTGAGACACAGCCCTTGAGGAGATGACTCCTGATGCCAATAGCAAACAAATTAAGTTACCAATACGTTAATGCAGTAGATCAGTTTGTTTGAACCAGGATGATTACCTATAGGTTTATAAAACAACTTAACAGTTCGATGAACCAACATTCAATACGCTCGTTAGTTAAGACTATTCATACCAGAGGATGGTGTGACCTATAATGATGTTAAAGGTTGATGTTCATTATTATCAAGCTTTTCTGATGAAGTCCTGACATTTGGTTAAGGGACAAAGAAATCCAACTAATTTGAAATTGTGTTCCCCTGATACAGACTCAATTTGTGGAAAGGTCATATTGTGCTCCCGTCATCAATATTTTTTAGAATTATTGTAATCTTGTTTCATTTGCTGGTGATCTAACATGACAAAGTTTAGAACACACATTAAAGGACACATACAGTAGACAAATGGCTACTGTATGTGTTTTTGGTATTATTAAGCTACCACCACATACAAGTTGTGACATACATGTATTGTTATGGTCTCCAAATTTTTTGTGACAGTGTCCGTTTGGTTGGTGTTCAGCATTTGGAATTCTACATCTGTAACAAATGGCGGTGGTGACATTTTGCATATTGATTCCTTGTTTTTTGCAGTTTCCTTCCATTTGAAAAATCATTCTTCAATTTATAGCTTGATTCATTGGTCAGAGAGCATTGTTGTTAGTTGATCTGAGATCAGGGTATATGGCAGAAATTAAGCATTTTCCTCATTTTTAGGAGCAGAGCATGATATGACAACACGGTGGACGTTGGATGCACCAGAACTAGGAAAAGAAAGGGCAATCCCTGAAGCTGCAGGGGGGAACCTCGTGAACAAAGTCTGGTTCCAGGCAGGTATTTGGATTATGGTAGCAGCTATTGTTGTAGCAGCCGCTGTAGGAGTCATCTATGTGCGCAATGATGCAAAGAAGCGGAAAATGATTGTTCAATCAAGCACTACCTTGAATCAATTATGACAATGAAAAATGAAAGTATAAGCTATGTGAGGTTTAATTGTACTGTCTTAATGGCAAGTAAGATGCCATGATTTAAGGCCACCCTAAATCAGTTATGACTAATGTAGATAAGCTTTATTAAGTCAAAGGCTAAGCCTGAATGGTGGGCTAAGATTACACAAGTATGACATAACAGGACAAGCACCAGCTTAATCAGTTATAACTTATGACCAAAGATAAGCTTTATGAAGGTTATTTGTTATTACATACATCTGAATATTGAGCTGAGACAACATGACATGTCAAAATGACAGGTCCCTTGACCATAATTGCGCAGGGTTATTCTGAGCAAGATATGAAGATTATCTGTGTGAAATCAGGCGTTTTGACAATATTGGAAGTGCATAGGATTAGAAGAACAAAATTGCTATGTTGAAAATTGCATGTATTGATGGCATAGAAATAGGTCGACAAAAAATATGTTTTAGATATGACTCTTAAAATAAGTGGGTATACAGGCACGTAGCCAGCTTTTGCCAAGGGGAGGGGTTCATTTTAAAAACAATCCTGGGGGGTTTCACATTTGACCTTTTTGCCCCAAGATCACTTGAAAAGTGCTCAGAATGGTGGAAAACTTCATGGTTTTGAAAGAATGTTTGGTCAGGTTCACTAGCATCCCACCCAACTCCCCACCCCCTGGCTACAGGCTTGGTATACATTTGGGCTTTCCACAAGTTATATGTCGAATTAAACAAATTCTTAGCGAAACTTCTAACTTTTATAAAAGTAACTATATATAATATTGAATTTGATAGCCAGGGGTCATTAACAGAAACTTCGTAAAGTTACGAATTCGCACATCAATTGTTGTAACCATGGTCATAGTTAGAGAACAATTGACTTTACGAAATCTCAACTTTACGAAGTTTCTGTAAACGGCCCCCAGGTTTAATTAAAAGTACAATGTAACTGTAAATAATACTGAATTGTAATTAAAAATATGATTTAACTGTACATAATATTGAATTGCATCAACACCAAGTCAGTACATTTTACTTTGATAAGTGGATTAAGAAAATGTTCCATCATCAATAGTAAACAATTGTAAAAGCATTGATGGTTCAGTAATGCAAAAATAATGTTATTGTTATTCTTCTTCTGTGAGATGAAAGATTAATTTTATCAATGTTAACTGAAGCAGTATGTGTACACATTTATCTTGTGGTATCAAAGCTATGAACCATGCTCATTTCTTTCATCCATTGTTTTTGCCAATCATAATCTTCTGAGATGTAAAAAATACAATCATTATTGTACTAACACCCTTTTCCATAAATCCCCATATCCCACTGTATTATTATTGCCGTCTATCCCTCGGAAAGTATAATACAAGTTAAAGTTTTGTAACTGGCAAATAACAAGGAAAATAGAGGAATTTGTATGAATTTATATGAAATCAACAGTCAAGTTTGTAATCGAAATACATTAAATACATCAGAAAGCTAGAAATAATTTTGTTTTGGTGGAATTTGAGTCAAATTGTGCATGCCTGCCTGATATTCTATATATGGGAATACAATGATTTATACTTTTGGATTATTAGAATAACTTATTCTTTCCTATTGTTTTGTGAATTGGTATTATTCTGTATCTAGTTTTTATTGAAATAAATGTTACAGATCTACAAGCCAGCTAACATCTTTTTTTATAATCATAGTGAAATTATTCATAAATGCTACAGATGACTATAAAGGAACTCAAAGGACTCATTATCTTACTTTTTATTGCAAAATCCGCCAGATGTGTAGGACATTTTATTCATGCTTGATATTTCTCGGACTCTAAATTTTACATTTTTGTAAATATTTGATCAAAAACTAATATTTATACACTATTTTATTTAGAACGTCATTTGTGACTTCTGACTTATTCATACTGTAGGCCTGCAATTATCGAGAATTTCAAGTACAATGGTACAATTGGATATACAATCCAGAATCTTGTAAACCAATACAATTGGATACTTAGGGCTCAATACTTGTCTTTTGCATTTGTAAATCTCTTTTAATTACAAAACCAACTACCAAATCCATTGTAGGCTTCTGTGCCTGAGAGAAATGAAGCACTTGTAATTTGCCTACATAGATTATAAAAGTAAGAGAAAAGTATTGTTTTTTAAGAAATGTCTCTGAGAAACATCTTGGCCTTGTCTCAATTGATAATTTATCCTGGTCCTATTGACTATGCTACTGACATTACGGAGTTTCTAATTCATTAAATAATTCTGGCCTTATTTCACATTTATTCAGAAAATAGGTCTTAACTTTTGAAAAATGTCCAAATTCCAGAAGTGTGCCAGTTTCAGAAATTGAACCCATTTGACAAAATTTTTTTTATTGATGAGTCCTATCTCTCAATTTCAACATCCATCCCTTAAACACTACATGTTGGCCATCAGAAAAATCACTCCATAAATATTTAAAGTATTAAGTGACTTACCTGTGTCTTGAATGAGATGTCTTGCGCTTAAAATGATTCCAAGTTGGCGTCAATGTTTTATAATGATATCAATTCTCAGATATAACTGCATCAAAGTTCCTTAGCATACTGAATTAGATAACACACCATTTCAGGAAATCCAAATGCTTGTAATATAACTTGGCACCGATATCTAATTGGGTATAAAAATATCTGTATGTGAAGTTACGTGAAGTGTGCTGGCTCATTTGGCAATTCAATTATACAACCAGCCAGGAAATCGGCTAATTCATCGAAGGATTGTTTGTTTCTCATCCGATATAATAAGCTTGTCTAGTCAGCTGAGGAATTGGTTAATTAGTAGTATAGTATGTTATGATTGTTGATATTATTATTATCATCATCGACTTTTCTCTTAGCATTGATCTGACAAGGTAGAAATATGATGTCATGTTCACTTAAGTTAAGAGTAAAAGTTGTAAATCTAAAATAATATTTAGCTTGTGATCTTTGTACCTTTACATTATGTCGCCTCAACTTTTCATTTCTTTGAACCGTATTATTACAATTGCTGCCATGGTAGTATAGAAATGGTAATGCTATAGAAATGGTAATGGTAATCTCCAGGAAGGGGGGTCAATATATATAAACACTTCTGAGCACTTACTGGATAACTCCAACTGTGCTGATCTTTCAAGTCTAGATGACTGATCCAGATATTATCTGACCCTGGCCATAGGAAAACTGGTCTTATCACAAAAATTAAAATTGTGCTACAGAGCCAAAAATGTGCCCAAGATTAAAAAATGTGCTAAATTTAAATCCGACATTTTGGTCTATAACAATGGCCTGATGGCTCATTTGACAGTTTGAAAGGTCTCTGCTTTTTAAGATAAACAAAAAAATCAGAATATTGAGAAAATCTGTGATAAGACCCCTTTTCCTGTGGCCTGGCTTATTTAGCATTACTTCTGTTGAGAATACATGTATGGATATAACAATGTGGTCCTAATGCTGCATGCTTATTGAAATCGATTCATGGTAATTTCAGAGAAAAACACATTAAAAGTTGGAAAATTATTTGACTACAAATGCATTGAATATAGTATATATAGTGTGCTTATTGTTCAAATTATGTATGAAAAATGATGCATGATGATGGAAAGAATAAATACCAAGACAAGCCCTTTTGATAATATGAGTATTCTTTACCAGAATAAAAAATTACATGTAGTTTCAAAATGAGTGGTGTCCCCGGGTGGTATCATGTGGAAACCCTTGCTAAAAGTGGGATGAGTATGGGACTTCTTTTAAGAATGTGTAGCAACAATTTAAATGAACTTATAAATGATGTCTTCAAACTTAGTCACAGATAAAGGTCAACAGAAGGAAATAAAGAATGCCAGAAAAAATGTATTTTCCCTCATCATTCTTAGTACTATTAATAATGTATATTTGTAATATTTATGAATGTTATAAAACTTAAAGGTCTTGTTTTATTCTGTTTTATTGCCATTCATCAATTTATTTATGAGAAGATTTTACTTTTGCGTTTCTATTTCTATTCTGTGTGCAATAACAAGTAGTAGATGATATGATAAGTAGTAAAATGATAATTAGTAAAATACTCCACATTAAAATAGTATTCCTTGTAAGCTACAGTAGATAACTAAGATTCTGTCATCTTATCACAAAAGAATCTTACAAATACATTAAGAAGGGTCAATCATTTTTTATTTAGTACTTATCAAATTATTAAAACAAGATCTTACATAACTTTAGAAATAAAGTTTGGAAATAAAGTGGTCTTTATTTCAGAGGACATCAATTTATATGGAAACAAGGAATTAACATGCAAAATGTCACCACTTGCCATTTGTTACAGATGGTGAGCACCGAACACCAACTGCCAAACACCAATCATCAGACTCCAAACACCAACCACTGAACACCATCCACAAAAAGTTGGAGGCTATAACAATATGTAACCACTTGTGGTGGTGACACAAAAACCACTTTTTTCCAATAATATCACCTTTTTGTACACATAAACAAAGTACATGTACAGTCATATAAATTGACAATTGTCATTATTCTTGATCATCGAGATGTAATTATTTGTTTTAAATGTTGACTTTTATGAAGAGATGCTCTCAAGATTAAATCAAGAATGAAAAATGTTCTACAGGTATTGGAGTTTTTTTTCATTTTTGCTGCAACAGATGTCTGACCAGATTCTTAACTTGATCAGTATTAGACACATGAAAACTCAATTTTTCATACCCTGAACTCATGCAATACACAAGCGCACTATACTTTGACTATGACTGAACATTTTAAATGTGGTAACATTTCTGGTGTTGTTACCGGCCAATCAGTGAGCATGGCAGAATGTTTAAGGAATAAATAATGATAGGCCATTCAATATGGTGAAATTCAGCACGAGTTGGACAGAATGACGTACAAAGCACGAACCGAAGGTGAGTGCATTTGTACTGACATTCTGTCCAACGAGTGCTGAATTTCACCATATTGAATGGCCTATCATTATTTATTCCGATTCAAACATATAAAAAATGAAAACATTGTTCAGAGAATTGGGGATTGGAGCTAAACTCGAGCTCGCTGTTATTTTCGCCATTCCCAGGTGTGACGTCACAATGCAAATACAATACGTAGATTCCCGGATGATTGGATAGAGCACGGTCGTGCATCTATGGAGAATTAGAGAACGTTCTATATTGGCTATGCTGCATTCTGATTGGTTGAGAAATTCAATTAGAGCACGGTCATGTTTGAATTCTTTATAATCATCCTACATCCTTGCAGAAAGGGTATATATAGTATTTTATATAATTTAAGTATAAATGAAGTCCTTTGGAGAATGATGACTTGTACAGTATGAAAGTTTCATCTTTGAGAAAGTATAGGGGCTTAATTATTGGCCATGTCAATGTCTTGCAAGGGGTCATTTGTTTCCAGAGGACTCCAGGTCTGAACTTTGAATGACAATGGCTGGGAATTAATTAATGCTAATGCCCATTTTTTTCGCTCAATTTAAAAATTGAAGCTTTATTCAATATTTGCAAAATGAAAGGCTTCGTCTCTAAAACGTGGATCTGGACCTGATATTCTGACATTTGAAATTGTTTTTAATTTCAATAAGTAAATTGAGATATTTAATGTGTTATTCAGGAAGTTTGATTTATCAATGTAAAATGTTATGAGTATATCAGATTGAAAAGTGGTTTATCCTGTTATTCGATAAAAATATTACGAAAGTATTGTATATCAGTGTAAATAACAGGTAATACATACTTATTCTGTGTAAATACAGTTGATGTTGGACAATATCAGGTTTAATTTTCTGCTGAATGTGTTAATATAAGCTTAAGAATATTGCTGTAAACATGTCCATAAACATTTATAAATCTTATAAAGTTGTGACACTTTTGACTTGGACATGCTACAATATTAAGTGTGTTCTCAAAGACTGAAGAAATATACTGTAAAACAAGAAATTTTGTAATTAATTATGGCAGTGTATGTTGCATTTTGATCAAATTAAAAAGATAATAAATCAGTAAAAGAAATTCAACAGCTCAAAATTGAATTGTTAGTGGCATTATCATGGGGTATTATTAAATGAAATGAAAAATAAAAATGGCAAATCAAATCTACTATTGATAAATAGAAATATTTCAAATTAATTCAACATTTTATGTTTTACAGTATAGCTCAAAGTTCTGCTTTGAAATATCACACAATGTAAAAATAGTTGATTTAGGAGGAACTCTTTTCATAAATCTTAGTAAATATAAATCTTAATAATTTGATTTAAGGTTTTTAATAACACTTGAGCCAACTACTGTTGTTAAAGGTAGTATCAGATTCTACTGGAACCAGCCAGCAATTTTGACAAAGATTGTTTCAATTCTAGAATATTTTTGGATCATTCCTTGTCATGTCTATTTTGTAAAAAATCCATAAAGTACAGTATATATACTTTATTTTAGGAAAGTTAAAGATTTTTACAATAATGGATTCATTTTTCTATAAATATGGTTACCATATTTGGGAGACTTTTAACATTTTTTCCAGCTTTGCACTTTGAATGTACAACTTCACCAACTAATAACATACAGTATTGTGGATCATTTTGGGAGATATCATAATTAAAATTGTAAGAAATACATTGGTATGTCAGCTCAGCTATACAAATAATTGCTTGCAATTTTGTCACTCCCTATTCTGCCTTTAATGAAAGCTGGAAAGATTACAAGAATGAATTAATCCACTTCAGTTTGAGAATATATTTCAACAATTTGATTCTTTACAAGGCTTTAAACAAGAATTTCTACATCAATTGTTACCATCATCACAATTTGCTTATCATGAGTGTAATTAGTTAATAGTAAGAAAACAATTTTTTCAAAGTTTCTGTTAATGTCACCAAGGTCTCTGTTTCAATGCAGTGCCAAATATACTTAATTTGAAATTCCAGTTTACCCTATACCTCTCCGAAATGTAACTGAATGTTTATTTGATTGTTTTTTCAAAAACCAAGTCAACCTTTAAAAATGAGATACAATACCATTAAAAAAGGTAATGAACCTCTATCCCACCCCCAAACTTGATTTATTACTTTTGTGGAAATATTGACTTTGTCTCTTTGGCTCAAAACACTTCTGTTGGCTGACTTTTAGTGTTTTCTGTTAATTTATTAATTCCAATGGAACTTTAACTTAGATATTGATCAGTTATAAGTTATGAGATCCTTCTGTCCCTAAGGTTTGAGGGTTTAGCATGGTCTAAACAAGTAACATTTAAATCCCTTCTTACGGGAATAGTTCTTCATGATTAGTGAATATTTCTTAAGCCAAATAAATTTTTTTCCCAATTTGCCTTGCGTCAAGGTCTCGTGTCATCTTGACCAGATGTAGCCTTTATAGGCCCAAATATAATGGCATCTATAAGATGTATGATACAATCTCTTGAGATTATAATGCAGAGACACACAGTCATCATACCATAGAACATTTTCATTGGCTAATTTTCATATACTACACTTCGATTTGATGTTTTAATTGATAAGGGCATATTCCATACATCTTTCTTCATCTTGATGTGAAATGACAAGCTATGATATTGGTTAACACACCAAAAATTAACATTAAATATTAATCGAAGCGTATTTCGAAAATTCATCATTTGTTTGTTGACTTTTGACCAATCACAGATGTATGTCATCTCAATACAGGTTTACATTATAAGCGTATGGCATCTTTGAACTCTGGTGTTATTCCCCCTCTGGAACAGAGCTGATAGAAACAGAAACTATGTCACTCCAATGCCATCTTTTAATAAATAGAACTTTAAACTGTGGTCTGTAATCTTTGTTGAACTTTTTCAAATCATAATTTCTGACATCACTAATACATGTAATAGGCTTGGACAAAATCCTCTCCAAATGTGTTCATTATGGACAAAAAATATCAAAGTAAAAGAGTCTAAGTCTTATTTAATCAAGATTATTATTTAATCAAACTTATGTTTGTTTGGAATATGTACAGAAAGGAATGATTGCGGAATGTACGGTATCAAAATATAATATATTTCATTATCATATTCTTAAATCATAACATTATTGTTTCGAGACTGTTTTACTACAAGAAGTCATATATATCAGATCAGACTTGACTTAAAATAACAAACGAATGAGCCTGCACAAAATTAGCATTACCTCAAGTCTAGTAACTTTTAAATTTTTGAACTTTTTTTCTCATTTTACAAAACTTTTGAGTTTGGGATGCGATTTTCAACTATATCAAAAGATGGTTTTCCAGGAGAGTGATAACCTTTTTGATACACACTAACCTTACAGTAAAATATGATTTAAGAATAAATTGAAAACACTAAATGAAATTTTGGGCTAAGAGCTGCAATGAGAAAAAGTCCAGCCCTGGGGGACCAATCCTTCTCTGCCTTTGTCCCAAATATTCAAAACAAAATAATGATATTTAAAACACATACACATTTATTAGCCAGTCACACTTGTTACATTAAACCGATACATATAATACATACTGTACAATACATACATTGAGTATAAATAAATATTCATAAAATAAAGCTTTTTTTAACTCATTACTGAATTGAATTTTTAACATGATTATAAAATCTAGTCTAGTCAAGTTAACAAAATTCCTACTAAAATTCTAGTCTAAACATTCTACAGTTAGATTCCTATTTTATATGTTAAATGGTACCTTATGTTATTCTAGTTTATATGTGTGGTAAAGGGTTGGTAAACTCATCAACAACCCTGATGACCATAGATCACCTATAGAAACCAAGACATCTTATAATAAAAATATTCAACTGATGAAGTTATGCTTGCACAGAAGGATGTCAACCCCTTAAAGCATTTTCTTTTATTCATTCCCGCTAAAAATGTTCTTTTTGGAAAAAGAATAAATATCTGGCTGGTTTGGCAATACTAGCTTTGAATGACCTACTTTTACATTTAATTCAAGTTATGATCCAAAATGTCTATCCTCAAAATTTTAATCTCAATGTACAATTCTTGACTAGTGTTTCCTTTTTATCACCAGGAATTTGTCATACCCTGTGCATCAGTGTTCACTTTTAATTGAGTATTACCCTTTGACAAACCAGAATAACATATTTTACAACTGAATATAGATATGTATCTGTCAGTATTCCTCAAAAATGCCGCAAATTCCTCAAAGTACATGTCAAAATGATTTATTCAAATGTAAAAAAAGAATGAAAAATCTTAAAATACCAAGAAGGATGCAAAGGTTTCCCTCCTTCGTGTTAGCCCTACATCAGTACAACACCCACTATAGCAACAACAGCAAATGTTGATGCAAATGTTCAGAATTTCTCTGTTATCTCTGAGGTATACAAATTATGCGTCTGAGCATTGCACATTGAACAGCTGGCCAAAACAAAGAGAATACATGTATGTTGATTAAAGCTAGAGGTAGGTTAAGTAACCTTGGTTGATAGCTCCCGGAGAAATGCAGTTAAACTTGTATTAAACTGGCAACATTTCAACGCTAGAGTCCAGAGTGTCAGCCAAAGGATTTTATAAATCATAAACAAATTTTAGGCTGGTGGAAACAAATTCTGGTTCATTGGCAATCAACTTTTCAACGTATACTATTCCTGTCAGCAATCTGGCCCATAATATCTGAACCTGACCCATAATATCTGATCCTGACCCATAATATCTGAACCTGATCCATAATATCTGAATCTGACCCATAATATCTGAACCTGACCCATAATTTATGGACCGGACCCATAATATCTGAACCTGGCCCATAATATCTGAACCTGAACCATAACATCTGAACCAGACCCATAATATCTGAACCTGTCCCATAATATCTGATCCTGATCCATAATATACGGACCTGACCCATCTCAAAACAAATGTACTGTACAACTTTATATACTAATGCACTTGTGGAGCATATACACATCTCATAATCAGATGTCATATTGGAAGCTCAATTCAAATTACATTTAATATGTTATATAATGGTGGTAATGTGGTATAAGTGGTAAATGAAAACATTTCCATGTACGTAAATCAAAATTAAAAAAAAATATGCATGTTTGAAATCCATAAAATCTTACTCTTAATTTCAAATGTGTCCAGTCGTGGCTTCTCACTAAATTAGAATATATTAGTAAGGTTATACGTACAAATCATATGGAATGCTGTGAAAAGAAAACTGAAAAATTTAGCGATTTGGAAAAAATTACAAGAAACAGGCTATATATGAACACATCTAAATAAAGCTTTAATATTCAATATAGTAGCTCTTGATATGTTAGCCAAGGAGACATTATACAGCTTCATAATCTCTCAGAGGAGTGAGTTCACCTTAGATGTAGGGTCAAACATCAATGTGGCATTTATTCATGAAATAATCAAATTTGGGCGAGGGTGAGAGTCCAACATAGAAAATACTGCATATTAAGTAGGCGATAATGAAATGATAAGATTTGACAGATGAGATGAGCTGTGAGGGTCTAAGCATTCATTAAATTAGTTCTTTGAGAAAGAAAACATTGACATTTTGACCCCACATCTTATAACAATGATAAAAATACAATGCTTTACTCAATAGATATTGCACCTTAAAGTTTATCATTGTCTGAAATTTTCTCCATATAAGGCATTGTACAATATTCTGCTATATAAACAAAATCTTTCCATGGAATCCATTTACAATTCTCTATAAATCACCAAATATTGTTACATGTAAAATATGAATAGTCCTCACAACCATGTCTCATTCACAAGTAAACAGGCATTAATCTTTAGTCAAATTATACGAACAAGATATATCATAATTATAAACTTTAATACCTTGAAGAAGCTGCTATGGAATGTACATAATATAATATATTAAAACACATTTCAACATTATACCAATTTATAACAAAATAAAGAAATCCTTTGACATAATTCTAAATGTCATACATATGTTTCTCTGATATTGTTAACAATAGTTAATCTCAACTAAATGGACTTGGCATATCTTATATATCATATATGCCTATATTAATTTACACAGTCTACATGTATGTTTAAGGGACCAAGTCTATCAGATATTTGTCCAAAAATGTAATTGATTACTTTTCAGAATGACCCCCTCCCTTGCCAAAAAATTTAAATCAGCAGGATTTTTGTCAGTTAAAGCTTACTTCTTTGTAAAAATTGTCAAATTTTCATAAATTTCGTAAATAATAAATTTTATGGACATATATCAATATATTAACTTTTTCCATATGGTGAACCACTCAATGGTCACATGACTATTTCCTGTTACAAGATTGGTAAGATATTGTACCAAATAGTCACATGACCATTCCTTACTGTTATGATTGGTTGTTCATGAGACTCATTGTCTGCACTTGGTTTGGCATTATGAGAAGTGTTAACCCATATTGATGAAACTTGATGGTGGTATGTTTTTGTTGTCTATGAAAAGAACTACACATGTAGTAAAACCAGTATTCGGTGAACACCTATGGAACCTCTCTTGAGAGAGGTGTTCACTATGACAGGTTTTACTGTATATCCCAAGTTTATAAAATACATTAGAAAGTATAATCTGTCCTAAGGGTGACAAAAATGCACCAATGTAAATGCTTAATTTGCATTTTTAAAACAGTCTATGTCAATTTCTTTATCTTTACCGACTGCTCCCCCAAAATAATGATTCCACTTGTGTTACCAGCATATTTAGTTCAACTTTGCTGACCGCCAATTTCAAGAAAAATAATGTGCTTTACACATTTTTCAATGATTATCAATGGCTTAATAGTTACACCAGCATAAGACTATTGCATTGTTTTTATCCCATATAAAGTATATGTTAATTCTTGGTGGGACCAATATAATGACTATCAAACTGGCATATAAATAAATACAGAATGAGATAGAATTAAGCCCACACCTCACATTGTATATACATTGTATAAGTTAAACATTAAATCAATTTAATAAAAATAAAATTGTTATAAGTTGTCTTTTTGTGGCATGCTGCTATATACGAATGGTACCTTCACTAACACTGCAAACATTCAAGGGTGAGTTCTGCAATATAATCTCACTTTGACTTAGTCCGTATTTTAGCATGGACTTTTAAAAATTCAGGCTTTTGTAAAGTGTCCTCTTCTTCAATAACTCCAGTATTGTGTTCAAACTGAAATGTAAATTCAAAATTTTAGAGAGTAAGTATATGAGTTCTACTTAGATCTGAGATCACATCAAAACATAAATGCATGCAAATCATTAATCTATGGCAGTTTATATTAGCAATTGAACAAAACTGGCTCAAATCTGACCCATAACCAAATGAAATTAACATTGTGTTTGCTGTGCATTGATGTGTTGATATGATCCCTTTGGAAAGGCAATCAGCTATATAGATATAGTTTATGAATATACAACTGTAATTATTCTATTTGACCTTTTCTAAAACTTGGGAGATTAGATCTAGGAGTAAGTTCAACATAAAGGAGAGAAAGCATTTTAAAAATCAATGTGAACGATGATTCTTACTGTACTTAACACAGAAAACAATTAAAAATGAGGAGATTTAATTCATACTATTTTGAGAAGCAGGTCGCAGTTAAATATGAATTAATAATAAAATTACATTGAGAAAACAATTTTCTGGTAACATCAAAGCAAAGATTTCTTAAATGATACCTGTTCTAATTTGAGTTTTTGTTCTTCTAATTTTTTATCGAAGCTTGTGCGTTTACTATTCACTTTGTCCTCCCATTCTTTTTTCCGCTGAGTTTCTCGACGATTTAACATAGTTCTCTCCAGCTCACTTTTCTGTTTTATCAGTGGGTCACCTCTGAAAAGAAACAAAATGTCTTCATTCCTACTAAATATTTAGCTAAAAAAGCCTTATCAAGACATAGAGAGCAACAGGATAAACAGTATAAGGTATTGTGATATCCCATGTGCACAATTTTTTTAAGTCCCATTTTTTCAATCTAACATGGACTTCATTTTTTTTTAAAACGTGAACACCTGGCATTACAAAAACTTTTGGTCTGTTTTGTTGAGTTCAGATTCGGCAGTCTCCAGTCTTTGCTTTCCATTTTATATTTTCTTATCTTTGAGATGGTGTTTGTGTTGGTATATGAAGGGTACTACATAATGACTTAATGTGAGCCTACCTTACAATTATTACATGGGTTTACTTACGTTTTAGTTTTATGAAGTAGTTCTTTATGTAACTGCATGCGTTCCCTTGATTCCATACATGGGTTGTGTAATTTGTGACCTGATATCAGACCAACAGGCTTACCAGGTTCACTCACTGAGCGAGAATGCTTAGAAGTACCTGGAAATGTATTCTCTATTTTAAAGACAAGTGGTGGGAATGCTTAGCAGAACCTGGAAAATTAGTCGAGGTCAAGTCTTAAATTTTTGACATTTCCCCTGTAAATAGAGTTGTTCAGTATTACACGCTAGTGTACTTTAACGGTTCATTTCATTTGAACTTCATTATTTATTACAGTTTAATTATAGTCATAAAATTATGAGTGCAGAATGCATCAAAAAATCATGCATTATTTACTTTTACAGTGTATGATTTAACTAGAAAAACACTTGTTATCACAATGTCTTAAGAACTAAGAAAACCTTTAAAATATCAAACAGAATATAAAGCGAATGTACATACCAGTAATACCTTTGGGATTATACTCATCAAAAAGTAATACATTTTGAAAATTTGAAAACTATTTTGTTGAAAATATTTCCAGAGAAAAGTAAGAAGGGAATAGAAAGTGCATATACCATTAGAAAGTAAAGGGTGACAAAAAAACTGGAACCCATAAATCATCAAATTACTTGGAAAGTATTATACCTACATTCTTCATTTTTTAAGGTAGAAACTGGACTAAATGCAAGACAAAATGATACCATAATGAGAACTGTAGCTTAGATATTAATCATGCCATGGATGACAGAAGAAAAGACTTATATTGTGAGAAAGTATATCGAGACAAAATCCTATAAAGAGACACAAACTGCCTAAAGGAGAGATCACAGGACAAGAAGAGCCCTTGCAAGTCACAGATCTTTAGGTTTGTACAAAAGTTTGATTCAAAAGGAACTGTAAAACCAACAAAGACAGAGGTCTGCCAGAACTCAAGACAATATTGACAGAATCAACAGTCAAAACAGAACACTACATCCCTACCGTTCGCTTGATAGACGTCGTGATTTGAAAAGGGACCAGCAATGGTTCCAACAAGATGGTGCCACACCCCACACCTCCAATGAGTCCATTCAATGGTTATTGACAATATTGCAAGAAGAATCCAGCTCTGCATCCAACGTCATAGTGCAGATTTGGAGCACATTATCTAAACGTGCCTCATTTGGAGACTAATTGAGACTTAAGTGGGTTCTAGTTTTTTTGTCACCCTGTACTTACAGTACCAAGATAAAGTACCACTGGAATATACCTACCATTGTGATTAATCTCTTCAGTTGAGTAGTCAGGAGCTGGCTCTGTAAGGTGGAGCTGTGGCACATGGGAGTAGATCTCCTCTGAAACAATTAATAAGATAATATCAAATAATGTTACAGATAAATATAAATAAATAAAAAATATGAAAAATGAAAATTGATCCACATGCCAAGGTTAGTGGACAGAAGAATAGGAAGATGAAACTGTCCAGAAAACTGACTAATGAACTGACATATGAAAATGTTATTTATTCATGATCTCAAAATTATTCTCTTTGGTATGTGTATTCATGATGGGTTGTTGTTTGTATCTCTACCATCTACATCACTACATTCTATAAAGATGGCATCTTCATAGCTGTTTGACAAAAATAATACTGACACCAATACGTTTGTATCACATATTCTCATAATATCAGTCTAACCTGTAATAACCTATAAAAATGTCATAAAAACACAATGCAAATAATGGCAGCAATTACCTCCTAATTAACAGTGTATAACTGTGATAAACAATATCAACATGATTCAAATTAAACCCATTTTGATCCATCAATGTATATCATATGACGGAAGCTGGAATGCATTGGTTTAATAGTATGAATGATACCAGGGGATTATAAGCATCATTTTACACATTTGATATTAATATTATTACTCATAATTGTCTGTATACTAATTATATACCATATTCCTGCAGTCATAGATGGAATACCTTCATAGACCAAATGTCTCAGCATTCAGAATGCTTTCAATGCAACTTAATAAGGTAATATAAGGCAAAATCTTATGTGCCAATTGTGTCTTTAATCAAGCTTCTGCATCCCCCATCCTGATACTCTTCATATCTTTTTGCCTTCAACTAGAAAGAAGCTATAGAAGACTCTGATTTATCATAATGTGTATCCCCCGACCTGTTAGAGAGATAGAGATTGGTACCATGCTCACAGCCAGATTTTACCAAAAGGGAGACACTTTTTCCAGAAATTCCAGGGGGTCATATTTGACAACTTTGGCCCAAAATCAATTAAAAAGTGCTCAGAATGGTGAAAAACTGCATGAAAGAGGGCGGGGGGATGGCCTGGGTGCAGAGGAATACTAGGGTATTCACTATCAGAGTTTCAATATAATTTCTGACAAACATGAAGAGTTGCAAAATTCATCAAATCTTTAAAGGCAGTTTTGCTAAAACCAACCAGTGAAAATAGCCTATTGTCTGCTCCTCGTGAAACCAATGACTAGGGTGTGTCTGTTAGTTGGGGAGGGGGGGTACAATGGAGAAAGACTTATTCACGTTGAACATTATTACTGTGTTTCATTGCAATAGGTAGATGGTCTCAGGTGCTGTTGGGTAGATTGGATTTATATCAAAATATCTTGAAAACAAGGCATGAACATGAACAATTTCACCACCTGCCATTTGTTACAAATGCTGAACACCAACCACCTGACAACAAGCGTCAACTGCTGAACACTGTCCACAAAAAATCCTCATACTTTGGAAGAATGCATTTGAAATTTTATGTCATACAGCCTGTATATATATTACATTATTAACATATTACATGTAATACAAACATTGTTAGTCAAAGCACAGCATACAGTTACACTTAATAAAAAAGCCTATTTCTTACATTTCAAAACAGCATATGTTTTGTTAATAAAACCAAAGCGATAATTATTATCTAATCCAGTTTTCAGGAACAAATAGTAACGGTATATTCTACCACTTCCTCTAAGATATACAGTTTGAAGTACCTTGATGGATCAAGATGACAATATTAAGCATTATTATGATGTATCACTGGTAAGAAAATCGAAGGAATTGGTCTATTAAAAGCATCTCTGTAAAAAAGCATCAACTACTTATTGATCACCCCTCATATACCATATATTCCCAAGCATGCCACAGACCAGCACATATACCTACACAATAATACAAATAATCTAGCATCACCATCAAATTCTAATGCTTTATTAATAAGGTGACTGAATTCAATGGATTGCACCTGGTATATCACAAACCTTTATCTCAATCAGTCAATTTTACAGGTAAGGAAATGAAAGGAGATGAGTTTGAGATCAACAGACATGCAGAATGCACAATTCCCTCGAGGCTGAAGCTGATATACGAAATGAAAAGTATGTATAGTAAACCTGTCTTAGTAAACACCTCTCTCCAGTGAACACCTGTGTTTAGTGAACACCACTAGAAGACACATTTTACATTGACTCCTGTATAAAATTCCCTCTCTGTAGTGAACACCTACCTTCAGTGAACACCTACCAACTGTGTGGATCCATAGATGTTCACTAGGTTTATAATAATATATATTATCAGATACTATGTATAAATCTAGTGATTTGATTGGCTGCTTTCTATGACGTATTTCCTGTATCACATAAATTTCATATGATACGAGCACACCACATGTTGTCTTTGGTAACGAAATGACGTCATACAACTTCATTCTATTCTTTCCTAATTCAAAATGACGTCACATATAGGCTATGTTACTATTTCTTAGAAATGATGAATTCGTCATTTGAGGAACCAGAAGTTAGAACGACAAAGAAAGCTTACCAATCAAGTCACTAAATTTCTACATAGTATGTGATAAAATCGTCATCACACGTTTCAGCGAATGTGATACGGGAAATATTCCACTCAGTAAAAAAGTATCACCACTCAAGCTGCGCTTTCGTGGTTATACAATTTTTACTTTCGTGGAATATTTCCCGTATCACATGCTGAAACGTGTAATAACTGATAGTATTACAATAAATATCGTATTACACAAGTTGTTCACTAGGTTTTACAGGTTTTACTGTATCTCATACATCTAGTATACCTTGAAGGAAATTATAGATGAATACATGCACATGATTATATATTTTACAATGCATGTAGATCCTAGATGTGTCATTAAAGGCATCATGATAAATCATGACATCTCATTTCCTGAGATGTTTCTGGTGAAACAGAAAGATGTTATGACTATCAGAATGCATCATAGGTACTAAATATGAAAATTCAATTTAACAATGACAGACTATTGTGGGATTTACAGTCTCTACTACCTTGCAATAGAGCACAAGTGTTAGATTAAGAGAGACTCTAATAAATCAGAACTATGACAGACCACCAATAGAGTATAATTTACTATCCTTCAAACCTTTCACAAACAGAATATATCAATGTGTTTTATTGTTACCTTACCCTCTTTAAATCTGAAACAGTTCTTTGTTTTTGAATACATCCAATCAAAACATCTGCAAGTACCTCACATAGCGTAACAGGATAATGCAATAAAAGCTGTTTTAAATTCCAACAACTAAAAACTGGAAAATCACCTAAATACTCAGATGATGGTGTGACTGGCATCATGATAAACCATGACATCTCAAATCTTCTCAGCCCTGAGATGTTTCAGGTGAAACAGAAAGATACTATGAGTATCAGAATGTGTGGCTGGTTATACATGGAAATCCTTATCAATATATGCAGACTATACTCGTACATATGCATATTTGTATACTTGACCAAAATAAAGATCAGAAGCAGGGTTTTTCAACTGAAATTGTGCAATTAGACACAAAACTACAACAAGTAGAAAATCTTACATGTTTTTCAAACCAAAGTTGCTAACATTCAATTGAGCCTTAAACTTCAAAAGAAGGCGACTCTACTTCAGAGGTTCAAAGGTAAAACTTTAAGCTAAAGATCAACAAAATATGTTTATGTGGTTTACTTATAATTTTGCCTTTAGTAACATTTGACATCAATAAAATAATGAAAAATGTGCATGGAAAGCTCCTACTTAGTTCTCAATGTTTTTAATCATATATTTTCAACCTATAAAATATTCATAAAAATAACCATTATGTCACAAAACTCATTGGCACAGTTAAACGATGAGGAAGTATTTTATAAAATAATTTGACAGTTTTTACTAAAACTGAACATTTTGCTTCATTTTTAAAAATTTGACCCACTTATTTTTGGACCCTCATCCTATGCCCATGCAACTTTATTTGTCGATAAACCAATCACCTAAACAAGCACACCTAATACTAAAATAATATCAGAACATTACAATAATATTGTTTTTCATAGCTAACCAACATCCAACAAGGAATAAAGAGAAATACATGTACATGTAGTCTTATATCAGCCCTATCTACACATAAAGCATTTGCACGTGGTATTAACTTCAACTGTTAATTTGAATTTTTGACCTACCAGACGATTGAAAACCAAGGATTGCCAGTCTCATACTGCACCATTTTTCTTCAAAATTGTTCCATTCAAAGTATAACAAAAATGCCTTTCTTTTGATACATTAGTCTGTTATACAAAGTCCCTATTTTCTGCAGCATTTGGGTTCCAAGCTGTGAGAAGGCCTTCTCATACCTGGGGACCAAACGCTGCTAAAACGAGGGACTATTTACAATAAAGCAATGCATCGACAGAAAGGCATTTTTGTTATGCTTTGAATGTAACAATTTTGAAGAAAAATGGTGCAGTATGAGACTCACAATCTTTGATTTTCAAATATCTGGTAGGCCAAAAATTCAAATTAACGGTCGAAGTTAGTACCGTGTGATCTTGTAAGCCCGTAATTAACAAAGGATGATATAAGATTGATACATCGAAGCAGTGTCTTTTAAAGTAGTAACTTATGTAAATTATTATTTACACAATCATATTGCATATTCTTATGTTAAACAAAACAATGTCCACATGTATTAGAGCATAGCCAGATTAGCCCAAGAAGTCAATAAGATAAGATAAGAGCAGTTTACTTAAAGAATAGCATTAGGGTCCAACCAGTAAATATCCACAAAGCGTTGAGTCAGAAATTTTACCCAATTTGTGATTGAGATTCCAGTCATCATATTTGACAAAAACAGGAGGTTCGTCCCCATCATCCTCGTGATCACAATCCTTAGTGGTGTCTTCCTTATGGTCATTCACCGTGTTGTAATCCGGTTCAGGATCACCCAAAGATTCTTGAGCTTTGAAGGGTGCTGTGTGTGTGGAGGGTGAGATTGGGGAAGATGGTGGTCTAGTTACAGAGGGAGAAGCTGGAGCTGAAGGAGTGGGAGTAAATTATTAATTATTTTACATTATCACTTTATGTGATATCACTTTATGTGCTTTCAATAGTCTCTCATTTTTGTTTTTATGCATGCTGTGTAAAGGTGCTTCATGCACACCTGAAAAGGAATGGCATATTATCAAAATTTAGATAATATAATAAGGTCAGAGGTTAGTTGCTGAAGGGCAAAATTGAAATTAAATTTCAGGTTCTGTATCAAAAAATGTAGTGAATAAATGACAGTGCTCTTTAGTGTTTCTCCTCTCCCTGGTATGTCACATGCAGATGCAGTGTAGTAATCATTAGCTTAATTAGCTGCATTTCCTAAATGTCTACACATTAAAATGTTTGAATATCAACTTGTTATCAACTCTATAATAGCATTATATTATTATCTTGATACGTTATCTACAGCAATAAACAATGTTTATATTATTAAGCACTGCTTTGTGATTTACAACTCTTGAAAGTAACTTGTTTATGTACATACGAGAACAATACAAACAGAACTTGAAGTTGTAACCAAAATGAAGTTTACAAAAACAAATATAAACATGCAGTGAATGTCAAAAGGACAAATAAACAAACATTATATTTACATTAGCATTTCATATCATGTTTGATCACTTTAAAGGCCCGATCTTTCAATTAAAGCACTTTTTTTCACTTGGGTATACCAGATCATTTTGTTTCCTTGGGGAAAATCATTTTATTTCCTTCTAAAGTACTAACAGGAATTTGAAAAGGTCAATATACAGAATAAAAAAATATATCATAATCTACATTTTTTTACTGAGCTCAACTTCCTTAAAGTGAAAACATATTCTAACTGTCATCTGTAAAAATACATTCAGGGCTCTCGCCAGGCTTTTAGACTGTGGCGCAGCACCACACTCTATTTAGCTCCCAACACACCCTACTGGCAAATCATGATTGTTACCACAGTCTAAACTTGACTGAATATACAATAATAGCATGTAAAAAGGATAAAATATAACATAAATATGATTTATCACGATTGAACGGTAATGCTGAAGATGTTTGCACCACACCCTAAATATTTCCTGGTGAGAGCCCTGACATTCATGAATATAATGTCAGTCTCATAATTGAGCTTTCAGTTTTAGAACTCACGTCGACTCCTTGGACATGGGTATGGGTACTAAACACAAGGACTTAGATCCATTTTACACGAGTTGTTGATTTAAATTGAGCAATTTTTGGAACATCTCAACTCAAAGACATACATGTTATCTTAACAAGATATAAGATACATGTAGTTAGTTTTTACAGACAGAAAATTATTAATTTACTTCTTTAAAGATTATGGTAGACATTCTAAACCAAGTGTTTTTATGGCAGGCAATTGCTCTACTGTAACTGTACCTTTATATGACAATAGTAGAATATGATAATATAATATAGTAATTTGATTATAGACCTCTTATACTGATCTGCTTGTCTGTCTGGTTATCATTTGACACAATAGTGTAATTTTACTTATCTTTGTACTGTAGGCAAGGGGGTCAAATAGTGACCAATATATTAGGTAAGCCACAGCAATATTTGGCCAATGTACTTGAATACATAAATTGTACACACATACCTTTGTAATACACTGAAACTGAAGTACAGACACAAATATTTTTGACGGCAAACCAAATATTGAAATTATTCATTATAATCCACAATGGTTTCTTTGGGTTAACATCTAATATAAGCAGCATATGAAATCCAGTTCACTATGAATTTGACAACTCAAATTCGCAACTAATAAGAAATCTCTATTTCCATCATTCATAAATGTATATGATCTGGAAAAAATGTAGGAGATGCTATAAATTTGCATGCTTATAAGCAGCTCTTTTTGAGCATTTTTTCAGCTCATATGATGGGGTTAATCCAAGACAGCTAGCTAAATTATAGACTAATCTAAGACTTCTTGGTTTTTCTAAAATGTGTTCTTTTCTAAAGGAACACTCCATTTGACTCTCTGATTCAAAGAATATTTTTTGAAGTCTTGCATCAAACCCTTGAGAAGCTGGAATCAGTAAGATTAATAACTCTCCTGTATTATGTAGTATTCAAATTCAAAGACATACCTGGTAGTGCATTGTTGTGTGAGTTATTTTTATCATCCATATCCCTTAGAGTTTGTATATGGCCCTCTCTTTCACTCTGGAAATACACATAGATCACAATGTTAAATTCCAACATCTTACCATCAAAATTCTCATGGCTTAAAGCATCCTGGTGTGCCTTCATCATCGTCTCTAATATCTGCCTGACATTATCAGCGCATTCTATATGCCCACTGGGAGCATCTTCATCCAATTTACCCATATCTTATATTGGAAGTTGATCTCAGCTTCAGTGATTTCCGCAGTCTGCTCGGATTTAGATTTGCTTGCGATATTTTCAATGCAATGTGTATTCTAGTTTTCAACAGTTTGTTTTTGTTTATATATTTTCAAAACTCACCTGAGAACCTGTTACCAGTGACACGATTGCAATAAAAATGTCACCTATTTTGTAAATTCTCTTGAGAGCGCAAAACACTTCCGCTTAATGTATCAGCATTCTAAATCTGAGAGTGTTAACATGGTATGGGGCAATAGCATGGTAAGATAGCAATGGCATAATCTATCAAAGTACAACAGCAAACAGTCTAATAAAATTATGATAACACGAGGCTTGAGTTGGCTAAACATTTTACTATGTAACCCAGAAAATAAATTTAATATTCCGTAATAGTGAGAAGTTCAAACACGTAACTACTTGAGGTTTTTAGTTTATAAGTATCCTTGAGTCAAGATTAACATAAATTCTGATCGTTAGACCAACTGTGCCTGACAAAAAAATAAACCACCAAAGGTTACCCTGCACTCAGTGACAGTGACCTTGACATTGTAATCTGGTTAGTTTTGCAGAGAAATGACAAATTCCCATTTGACAGACAGGATTTTTCAAAGGTTTGCCAAATGTGATATGGCATTCATCACAAAAGCTATTTAGCTTATCTTTGTCAAAGAGCAGATTTTTTTAAAGAGAATTTTCTCATATGACTAGCCAAGATACAGCCATCTTTCCTATGCAAGATATTGCCATCTTTCATCCTAAAAAGTCACACGTGCAAGATGAGATTTACTTGTGACATCACTGGTTTATTAACATCAGCAACATAGCAATAAATACAACGTTGCTAAGAGTATCCATGCTCATTCTACAAAACTAAGCTGTGACGTCATAACAATGGAGCTTTGTTGCCACATGTATTTTCTACAATATTTTTATGACGTTTGATAACAATTGAAAGATGAAGTTCCATTAATCTGAAGCTATTTTTCACCCAGTTTTGTCATGAAAGTATGGCATTATACCTGTACATAGTCACATGAGAAAAACTTTCTTGTACTCCTACCTATGCAAAATCGTCCATTGTTGGCTCGCTTTGATAATATTTCTTTATCTCGTCTGTGACTCAATAAAGAAGAATTATCAAAGCTCATCAAGAATGGATGATCTTGCACAGGTACTCATATAAGAACCTTTATGTCTTTAATAAAAATGATGTCAAATATTTTATCTCAAAATAAAACAAATGAAAAAAGTATTGGTCCAATCCCCGTGCACCTTCACTTCAAGGAGTGAAATAGTAATGGATATAAGGGGAGCTAGGAAGGGTCCAGAAACTTGATGCAAGACCAAATTATTTCCACACAGGCCCGCAGCCAGCTTTTGCCAAGGGGGTCCACTCAAAATATTCCAGTGGGGTTCACATTTGACAACTAGGCAAAATACTTGAACAGCGCTTAAAAGGGTGAAAAACTGCATGACTTTGAAAAAAATTTGACCAGGGGAGATTCACTCAACCCCCCTTGGCTACGGGCCTGCACACATATGAACCTTTATGAAGATATTGTACCATCTGGTGAAACTAAGACAATCATATTTCTACTGCACAATCAATAATCCATAAAGTAGACTACAATATAAAGAGAGAATCAGCAAATTGTATCAAGAAAGTCATATCACTCCTAAATGAAAATCTATATCATCCCATCAAATAAATGTCAATCTGATTACATATGAGCTATTTTGATCTTGTAAATGATTAATTGTCCATTTGATTTCCTGCATTTTATCTAATTCAGGGAATATTGATTACAACTGTCTTGGTCTCTCATATTTCTGCAATATATATTCTGGATCTATTAACATATGGGCCATTGATACTATTGAAGGGATTTCCTGGTATCACCTTTTGTTGTATATTGTTAATAACAGATTCAGGTAAATGAACACATGGTAACATTATCCGATATGCATTAATACTAAACATTAATATTATATAGCATAATGCAATTATTAAAACATGAAAATCTGTCCCAGAGTAAAATGTAATATCTTTGCATTAATTGCATTGCTATAAAAAAATATTATTTCTCTTAAATCGAATCAAAATTGCTGTCTTAATAAGATATATTATTCATTTTTCACTGAACTTATATTTGCATCATTTGGCTATCCTTCTTGGTTTGCATAAGAAAGTTTATCCCCCTCCACCCCCAATTCACCCCTCACCCCCACAAGTAGATGGAGGGGGAGGAGTCAACCGACACTAGTATAGAATCTAAACCTGTACATACCAGATGAGATCTGCATCGCCTTGGTATACACAGAATATCATAGATGTGATTCATTAGTATCTATCTATTCCAACCAATTATGTCTATAGTACTCTCATGATCAATCTCTGCTTTCTCATCACTAAATCCAAATCAAGATCACATTTAGATATTTCGTGAAAAAGATGTGTCTGTTTTACATGCTCTTTTGCTGCTACTGGGTTAATTGTGCATTCTCTAGTTAGAACAAACAGTGAGCAAAACACATGAGAACTTCTGTGGCATGAATTATTCAATCCATGCTTTGTGTCAGTGATTGTACAGGGTGCTATTAAGAGTCACAGGCTTGCTACTGTAAAACACTTGATGAAACTCAATTGGTTGACAAATAGGTAAAATCTAATTTTAAGAATAATTGTAAAATGATTGAAGAATGAAAAAATGTACAAATTTTGTCATAATTCACCAAATTGATCAGGCATTTGGTGTTTTATGGTAGATGTACTAATTAGCATTAGATGAATATGAACTGGTTTACAGTAATTCCTGCTATTGATCCAGTCTGAAGATAGCTTCTGAGTCATTTTTTACAGACAGAGTATTATTCCTAAACTCCTTGAAAGACAATTGACTTAATATGATGCAAATGTCAGAGTGACCTCAAACGCCTATTTCCAATTAATCAATTTAATCTATTTATTAATATTACCATATTAGGGCACAATCACTACATTACATGATGATGATCATAATTATATTCATCATAATCAAAGTATGACCATCACTAGATACACCCAAAGTGCTTTCCAAACAATGCGCTTTTTATTAGTTGCAGAAGTTACAATTTCAGATGCACATGTACCAGCTGCAGGTACAACCTGAGATTTTGGTGGAATCTGAATTGACCAAATCTGGCAGATATATAATGAACTGGCTTGTGATAGTACTATTTAATAGAGCTAAAAGCAATCGATTCTTTCAATTAATATAAGTGCATCTTGAACCAAGAGCTTTCTGTTGTTCCGAGACCCATAGATAGACAGTGGAAATCATTGTCTTTGTATGTTTCTCACAACATTCTAGTGATTCAACATACTAATTTCGTATGAGGCAAAAAGCAGGAGCAATTAGAGCAGCAATGGGTCTGAGGAATGGCAGTTGTTTTTTACATGTTTTCAGATGAAAATGCTCTTACTATCGTTTTTATCACTTCAAGCATTAACAGACATTAGACAATATGATCAATAGGGAAAGATCAATTACTTTTGATCTAACATATTACTTGAGGATATCTCAGCAATGTATCGATTTTCATATATAAAAGATTTCAAGATTTCCTCTTTATGCTGCATACTTCAACGCCCTGCACCAACATCATTATATTTACCATAAGGGTATTAAGGGACTACAAAAAGGTTTATGTTTTGTTAATAGTTTAATGAAGGATTGTTCCACAGACTATGTAACTCCTTTGACCATATGGCTTTCTCCTTGAAATTATATGCTTTTGAATGATGTAAGGGGTTCACTACAATTCTTCTTTGATTCATAAGGCAAAGCAAGAATCATTTTCCTAATGTTCATCTAAGTATCTCCTAATTAAATAACATCTCCTAATTAAAACTTTTAAAACTAAATGGCCAGATAACAATTAACTGTAAAATGACAAGGATGACACACTGAATTATGGTATCATGTTAACCAATATATAAATCAGTGCTGAATAAATGAAAAAGAAAATGCTATGATTAAATATATCTGGCGAAATGGCTCAAAATCTCATGTTATGAATAAGGAGTTCTAGTAAGATGAATGAGTCATATCACATTTCTTTCTTTTTGTATATAAACTTATTTTTCTATTACTTTAGGATCTAAAGAGAATTTACCATGCTTCATTTGATAAGTATACCAGGATAAAGACACTGATTCATAAAAAATCCAATTTGTCAAGTACATCCCTCCCAATGGTGCGTATAACAGAACATCCTTGTATCTCAATCAACAAATATTTATTTTAAACACTGTGTAAAAAATTGCATGTGATCCTTATATCAATTCTGAAAGAACAAGGGCGTAACATCTTACATGCATTCATTATACCTCACACGCCTATAAATAGTATCAAAATGAGCAGTCTAAATGAGCTGCTATACTTCATTCTGTCATATATTTTTATGTATACTTTGGGCAAGGTCTTGTTCGACATATTTTTTATACACGAGATATGCAGGAAGCTTGAACTGTAAATGCTTGAATTATTTGTGACACTATGTTTGAACCCTTATACCTGAAGCTTTAAGGTTGATGAATATACCACTAAAATACCCAGAGAAGTGAAAAATATTAAATATGTGTCAATTTTTATCTCCAATTGCTTAGATTATGTTTTTAAAAATGAGAAAGGCACAATTGTATATAGTATACCACAACCCGACCATATAAAAAGGGGTTTGACCATTTAGCTAAATGATAGGGCAATTAGTTTTAAAGGTGTAAATTGACACTTAAATGCTAGGGGCAAAAGCATCATTTTCACATAATGGCTATATAGTCAGAATAATACTAGTACCCATATAGTCATAACAGTTTGACACAAGCACTGTTTAATATTTGAATGTAAAGGCTGTGTTGGAATTCCAATCATGTCTTAATAAAATAATACCTTATAAGGACCTGTTTCTAATTTGTGAACATTAGAAATATTAGATTTCAGGCTCCTTTCATTCTCTCTATCATGATCTAATGTAGGCCTATGTGCAAGTTAGACTAAAGTATGCAACTTGACAATGAATTATTATGTCTTATAGTTTGACAATACATGAAGCAACAATACAATTCAATAGGTCTCAATACATTTAATACAGTTGATGTTAATTGTTATAGATAGTCCCAAGATCAACTGACTTTATGTTAAATGAACCTCTATAAATGGAACATCTCCCAACTGGAACACTTTATCGAGGTACAAAAGGTGTTCTACTTCGACAAGTTTTACTGTATTTAGTAGTTAATAGACTCTATTCCAAGCACGTTCCCTACGAAACCTCTGCCAATAGTTTTAACTTAATACCCCAGCTAATATGTTTTGTTATTCACAAGAGACACAGTGCAACATTAGCACCAGATCAAGGAAAATACCTGCATGTCTGTCAAGTGGTCTTTAAATTTGATTTTAGCCAATATATTCAAAAGTTGCCCAGTACACGGTTGTTAGAAATGGGTAACTCTTAAGCATGCAACCATAAGTGGTCAAACGATGATAACATCTTTTCATATACTGTAAAACGGGTGATTTTGACACCGGGAAATTTTAGCGATTTTTCAATTTTAGGGGGTTTTAGCGCGGGAAATTTTAGTTAAATGAAGATTAATCTTTAAAAAATCAAATTAGCGAAATGCATTAGAAATTTTATCATTTATGGCAGAAGAATGAATAACGGACATAGCAGAGGAATTATCAAAATGTAAGACTTCTAACGCACATGGTATTGGTCCAAACTACTGTAATCTCATCTGACTAATCACAGAATCACAGTAGCATTTAAAATCGTTGATTTTTTGGTCCAAACTAATCTCATCTGACTCATCACAAAATGTAGCATTTAAATCGTTGATTTTTCGTCTTCACGGTTAATATATACGTCCAATGCTATTGAAAGAAACATACGATTTAAAAATATTTACCTTTTTCAAATTACAAACCGGAAGTCGAGCACTGAACGAAAAGCTCCTTAAGTACTAGTATTCATGTAGTTTCCCCGGAACTTGCAAATTTTAGTGCCCGGTTTATTTTAACCCCGGTTATTTTAGCGAATTGAATTTTTAGCGAAACTATAGCGATCGCTAACAATCGCTAACAATTACTCCTCGCTAACAATACCCGTTTTACAGTAGTGGAATTTTTCACCTGGTGGGAGTGATGTTCAAATGCTTAGGTTTTACTGCACAGTGTATTCAAATAGAGCATTTTAAGTACCAATCCAATGCATAATGGTTAAGGAAACAGTGTTCTTAGGACACTTTCTTCAGATACATATATTAACACAAATTTCAACACTCACCTTATAATTTTCTGGAAGCAACTTCCCAATTTTCTTTTCATGAAACTGAAATAAATAACAAAAAAGTACAGCTGATTGACATAACTAGTTGAGAGCCATTGAGCCAAGTTTACCTTTGAGGATAATTACATGTGTTATATGCGTTGGTGATATTAAAAAACCAAGGTTAGCATGTACATTGTATAAATAAGGGACCTACATGTATGGACTTAAAACATGTCAGATTTTGAATAAGTTTTTACTTTGAATAAAGTTTTTTCATTAAAATACAAACCATATTACAATCTGGAATTATGTAAAGTGGAAAACTTGCATGATTTTAATGTTCTGTAAAGCTTGGCATGTAATCTCAATAACTTTGGTATGATGTGTATTGTAAACATTTTTAGTAATGAATTTTCAGGTTAGGAAAATGTAAGTAATGCTTTGGAATAAGTCAAAGACAACAAGGTTAGACTCCAATTTCCCATAAACTTTGTTAAAGTATTTGTGGTAACTACAATTATTTATTATAGCAATGTCTATTAGATAAAAAACAATATATGATACAAAAGTTTTGTTACAAAGAGTATTAGACTACAAATGCATTGTATATACTAGCTACATGTATAGGGTATCACATTTGATGAAAATTTGACCAATGATCAAAAGAAGAAGAAAATATGTAAAAGTTTGTTTTCTTGAAGTTTGAGAATTCATAACTGAGTGATAAATTATATTCTGGCTTTTTAAATGAACACCAAACCCCACCGATAAAAAGGTTGGACGCTATAACAATACATCAACACTTGTGGTGGTGGCATAATGAAACTAAAGAAGACATGCATCTGCCATTTGTTACAGCCACCAAACTTCAAATGCCACTCATTGACAACCAAAAATAAACAAAATGTCACCATCTGCCATTTGTTACAGCCACCAAACACTACCCCCATAAATGTGGGGTCGAATTGGCATTTTTTCTTATTTTTTAATATTTTAGTGCACAAGAATGATAAAATATAAGATAAAATGCCGGCTTTGTATAAAAAACCTCCTACCTCATACCCACCTACCCACCTACGTGGAACATGATACAGTCATTGAAGGGTTCAATTTTAATGATTATTAAATCTCAAAATAGCTCAAAGTATTAACATTTCTACAATTCCGGCTTTGTTTTATGACTATAGACAGATGACAGATCCATAAATAAAGGCATGTGGATGCATTTTAATGTGTAATGACCCGAGGGCGCCCCGGGGGAATAAATAACTAACGACCGCGACCATAGGTCCAACAAGCCAGATAAAGAAATTAAAAGAAAGTGTGCTAAATTCGATGCTCCGAGTGGGAATCGAACCCAGCTGGGATGTAGTAGCAACTTGCTATCAAGGATCGTTACAAATGCTTCTATAATTCATCATAAACTAAGATTTAATAGACTAAGATCTTAAAAATTGAACCCTTCAAAGACTGTATTATGTCCCACGTACGTGGGTAGGTGGGTACGAGGTAGGAGGTTTTTTATACAAAGCCTAAAATGCCAATTCGACCCTACATTTATGGGGATACCAAACACCAAATGCCACCCTAACACACTGACCACCAAAAAAAGAAAAAGTCAATGTCACTTATGTTTTTCAAAATAGTAATGAATATCTGAATCTGAATAGTCCTGGTACCATCTCTGTGTTTCATGATCTCTCGTAAAAGCATTGTATTAAATTTTGAGTCAATTTTAAATTAGATTTTTTTAGGGCCCCAAAAATTTTGAAGGGGCTCAAAAATGGGGCTTTTTGGGCATATATGGACTTTTTGGGGCCAAGTTATCAACATATGGGCCTATAATTTCGAAATTTGGGACCAATTTTGGTTATAGGCGCCCATCATTTTTTTCCTGACTCAAAATTTGCCCTCTCCCTTTGTTAGCTTCTGGATCCGCCTGTGGTACATGTAGGTGCAGGTTATCCCGTTCCAGACTATAGTCCTGTACTGAGCGCATACATTTGCCTGTACGATTACAACTTGGGAGAATTATCTACGCCCCTTCCACTTAAGAAACCTACATCAATGCATTCTAGAACTCAAAATGTAACTTCTAATATATTGGAACCGCCGATTGCCTGGGTTAGTTGGCAGAACGAGGTCTTTTTGTTTCTTATGGCTCTTTTGGTCGAAGTTCGATTAAGATGGCGGTTATAACGGAATTTCCCGAGCTTTTCCGTAATAACACGAACTTGGTATTTCGTTACGTCACTTCCGTGTAAAATGGGTTTGTTTTCGGTAAGAGGGAATTTCGAAAATTTAGGACAATATTTTCAATATTTACTGCCATGTCGACATCCTATGCTCTTAACTGTATACCGAATGGTTAAACAATGTTTCTTACCGGAAACAAATCCATTTAAACACGGAAGTGACGTAACGAAATACCAAGTTCGTGCTATTACGGAAAAGTTCGGGAAATTCCGTTATAACCGCCATCTTAATCGAACTTCGACCAAAAGAGCCATAAGAAACAAAAAGACCTCGTTCTGCCAACTGACCCAGACAATCGGCGGTTCCAATATATTAGAAGTTACATTTTCAGTTCTAGAATGCATTGAGGTAGGTTTCTTAAGTGGAAGGGGCGTAGATAATTCTCCCAAGTTGTAATCGTACAGGCAAATGTATGCGCTCAGTACAGGACTATAAGTCCTGGAACGGGATAAGGTGCAGGTGTTCAACATTTGTAAGTCACTCATTTTAGGTGTTTCCAGCTTGACAGGCCTGATGATTTAACAAAGTGCAAAACAAAGAAGATAACTTACTTTCAAGTACTTTGCTGGGACATAGCCGACTTGATTGCTCACTAAGTTCCTTGCACCCCACCATACCTTCTCTGCTTTTTCAGGTTCTAAAATCTCAAAAGTGTCGCCTTTCTTGAATGACAGTACACGTCCTATTGCTACTCTGGTCGGTGCAGAAAAGTCTGAAATTGCTTTGTACATCTCCATGTGTACTTTGTTACATATAACCCCCTATATTCATGATTAATGTCTCCATAATTTCAACAAAATGTTCAAGGCTTTTTGTGTTTGTGTTTTTGGATTGCCTCGTTTTGAGTTCAATTAAATCCTGACATCTATTATACTATGGGCGAATTATTTCTAGACACCGATCATTTTGTTGTGATAATAAATAGTGCCGAGAAGAAGAGGTCACTGCTAGTTGTATAGTATATAGCAGCTTTCCAAATTTACAATAATTTTTACTGGATCCCCTTTCAATATTCACGAGAATTTTTGAAAGAAATATCCAGAGAGCTCAGTCTAGATGGATCCCCTTTCAATTTTCACGAGAAGTTTTGAAAGAATATAATCCAGAGAGCTCAGTCTAGATATACAAGAGATTATATAGTGATCCCGGGTTACTCACTTCGAGAGCCATGTTAGATTTTGAAACTTATACATGAATGTATAGATATTATATCACTAAATCCAAATAGCTTTCGCAGGAAGTAAATCCCGGGATAGTCTAGTGATCTGCTTCTCTCGTTAAATCCGGCCTATAGCAATGCATTAAAACGAAGATTGAATGATTGAAATAATATAACTTTGTCGCCTGAGCTATGAACTAGATAAAATAATGTGATTTACGCTGTTAATGATAGACTAACCTATAATAAAACTTTCTCAGGCGGGAAATTCAAATATTTGAAAATTGTAGGTTGGATGAGCACCGGATGAACATCTATTGTATTTGAATTATCTATGTCCAATGGTTCAAATAATTCGTCGTCAGTGTAAAAGCTGTTTGGTTGTTTTATTCTAAAGTAAACTAGACAGATTTTTCAAGAAACGCAACCCAAGCAATCGAGTGGTGGACTCTTCGTTTAACTTCGTCAGTTACCCCCCTATCACTCCAAACTAGTTCTTACCCGTTCTTGCCAGTCCTACGAAAACGTCGTCAAACGGGCTCAATCTGGCTGTGGTCGGGAAATATGTCTGAAATAGTTAGCTTCTTCGTTCTTAAACAGTCTTTAATACGTCCATCTCGTTCGCAGTTCGTTCAGGTCGCACCACGTCGGAGTGCAACGTCGTAGAACGCGTCCCTTAGTCTAGAAGGTCAACATGACCTGATTACAGAACGGTATGGTCGTCTTCTAAAATCACATTCCCGTCTCAGAACGTTCATAAAGTTCGTAAATAGACCTTGGAAAGTTGCAGCTACGTTCATTCCGTTCGCACACAGTTTAAAACCAGTTTTGAAGAACGCAGTGGCAACTTGTTTGGTGTGATAGTTATATTTTTGCTAACTCGTTCATAAGCAGTGTTAAATACGTTCTTAATCAGTTTAAACCCGTTTGCAATTATTCTACCTCGTTCTCAACACGTCCGCAGACAGTTCAACTCGTTGTTAAAACGTCCCTAGTAGGATTGAAGTATGACGGTTCCGTTCGTAGTACGTCCAGCTCGTCGTTAGTACGTTGTCACTCGTTCTAACTGTAGAACGTGACGACCACGAGAACATTTTGAGCATTGTCTAAGTTTTAGAGGACCTACCCGTTCGAGTACGTTCGATGAACTTGGTTTGTAAATAGATCCCAAACGGTTCTTAGTAGGTCCAGTCCGTTCGTATACAGTTGAAGCCCGTTTTCGAGAACGCAGTGAGAACTAGTTTGGTGTGATAGTAGGGTTACTGGATAATTTGTCTAAAAATGTAACTGAGTTTTTATTCTATCACACGATGTTAACAGATTAACCAATGCAAGTAGGTCCTTGTGTATGACACAGGTAAAAAAGTATGTTGAGTGGCCGTACTACCCTTGCAATAAAGCTTCTTAATTTTAACTCGCGTGAACACAATTTATTTAAAACCTTTGTGTTTAAAACATTTGTGAAAAACTCGGAGACTGTAGTAAAATCAAACCAGGCAGCATGAGCATACTGTGCTCCCGGTTAATATCGCCAATTTTGAGAAAACACGATTTCGCGGCTATTAAATTTTGCGAGTTTCACTAGGTACACCTACTACTATGTCATCTTGGTCAACGGCACGCTGCACCTTAGGCTCCATTACATCGTAATTTTTGGGTTTATTTGATCTAATAGCCACTGTTACAGACAGTGTTACTTAGTATCCCATTTATCGCCAAGAAACACTTTTTTACAAAACACGAAATGCAATGGAATCCAAGGTAATAAGAAAGTTCACAAATCCCCGGCACCAACCCATCCATGCCACTCGCCCGTCCGTCTGTTTGTAGGGTCTATCATGCAGCTGATAACTTTTATTGTAACTTGTTGATTCATGATCCTTGCGTTTGCCTCGCAAATATCTTTCTCCATGTGAGCCCATCGACTAGTGGCATTTATATATATTTTATATTCTATTTATATCTATCCATCTTTGCATCGCGCATTAAATCATCTCACAGGACGAACTCTTGTGCTAAGGGCTGATGTGAAAAAGTCAATCAACCCCAGTGGGGATCGAACCCACGACCATCGATGAGAGAAACAATCCCTTGCATCCGTCTACACATTTTCGTACTCGTTTGTCAGCCAGAAAGAGGAAATGTGTGATACCATGAACCGTTTCAGAGTTTTATCAAAAACATACTAAAATCATGTCAAATGGATTCGTTTTTGGACACATGCACACTATTGAGAGGTGAACCCCTCTTATTCCTCAGTCACATTTAATGTACGGCAACCGCACGGTGGCCGTAGCTTCCCAAAAATCGAGAGAAATATGCAGCATAAAATATAGGGATAAGCAGTACATGTACGATGTAGATTTTCTATATCAATTTTGTGAAGCTACGGCCGCCGTATACGCCCGCCGTAATATCTCAATAAACTCTAGTTGATACCTCCGTGATATATATTTCTCTCAAAAAGCTAAGCAACCTACATCGCATCTTTGAATTCTTTCGACCAAATTCAAAGCATTCTGGCAGTAAGGATCGTGAACATGAATTTTGACGTACAATACTAGTACAACATCCGACGGTTATGTCCGCCATTTGTGACAATGATATCTGACGTACGTTACCGTTGTCAGGTTATTCCGGTGTGTTATTGTTAATGCAAAAATTCAATACGTGTGGCTACTAGTAAGGGATAGTTTCAAAGTACGTGCATAAGAATATTTAAATTACTAAAGTGGCCATCGTGTGATTGTAAATAAGCATTTGGCTCGATTTAAAATCATGACAATTTGTTTTAAATATTTGCTCATGCCCACAGTCGGTTATTGAAAGAGGTCTTCAATGTTATGTGACCGAACATCAAAACGTGCCAGGGCGGATGCCAGGGATTTGTGACCTATATTTCTTTTGAAACCTACAAAAATTAAAGTGGTCGTACACTTTTACATTTATAAAGATAAATATACCTTTATATACACAGAAAATTGTGTTCAATAGGACTGTTGATTATTCGTTCATGACTTCTGGACCCAATATCATAGTTCTCATGTCACAAAAACAGAAAGTCCCCCAGGTAACCGTTTGTCAATATCATTCAGTACTTTGTTTTAGGAAATAGGTGCCTAAGATTTTCAACGTGTATGTTTTAAAATGTGATCCAGATCAAATATGACCACATCAGCTTCTATAGGTTTCCTAAGTTTTCATTATTTAAGTTAAATATTCTTTTGTTAAGAATACTGTACCAACTGACTTAAAAAATATAGCATGCAAACTGTCACAGCCTGCCATTTGTTACAGATGTCACGCCATACACCAACCACTGAACAACAATTGCCATACACAAAATTTGTATTTGAAAGCCCATGATATAACAGTATGTCACCACTTATCGTGGTGTCAAAAAATGAAGTATTTATGACTATATTATATTAAGCTGTTTATAGTGCCTTAACTCTCCCTGGCTGACTTCTTCATGACAATTTCAGACATTCTTGAATTCCCCCTGACAACTTTTAGATTCGTTTCAAAATTCCCCTTTCCTGGTCTTGGAGAATGTTAAAGTATGAGTTTCTCTAACTACATGTATTCCACAAATGCAGTTTCCTAGCTGAAGGAAATTTAAATAAACAAGTTTCTTTTTATTTATTGCCTGCATCCTGCTCCCTCATAGAGACAACGTATAATATTGACTTTGTGATATAATCACCTGTAATACCCGTTATACTGTACTCAACATAACCCTCCAGTTTTTAAAGATCATTTTTGTTTAAAGAAATTTCAATCACAGAAAAAAATTCAACAATCAGAAAAACTTAAATTGTGTGAAGTGTTCAAATGTCCCAAAGTTTGGTTATGTTAAAAACTACAATATTTTTGTATACCTGAATTCCATCAGCTGACAAAATTTCACATTTTACCTAAACATTTTTTATGTAGCAGTTATTCTCCAAGCCTTCTGATCAAATGAACTGGTTAAGGTTATGGTGCAATACATTACTTTTTGTACCAGAGTGGACATACTTTCATGGCTAGTCTTTAAACATAATGTAATTTTTAAGATGAACTGGAATGTCAAAGCTGTCCACACAGTGGGCAAATACACATGGAAAGTGCATAAATGAATGTAGCCTGATAGCGTCCCTGCACTGATGTTGGAGACTGAGAACCTTAGGGATATCATGACATGCAGCTACAAGTTCAGCCTCCTCTTTTGTCCCCTTCAGGTACATGTCCATGGCCTGTTGGAAGGCGGTCAAGCATGTCTGACTTTGTGATTTTGCAAGAAAACGGAAGATCTCAATATCTTTGGTACGTGTTACGTTTATGATGTCCTGATTTTGGAAGATGTTATTTTTGATGGAACGTTTGATTAATTGAACAACTCCTCCCAGCATAAGCCCTGTATTAGCACCATTTTCAACAAGCATTTTTATAGCATCCAAGGACTTCAGAGTTTCAAATGCATTGAACAGAGCATTATTCCCCTTACTGTACACATTTGGGTCTGCTTTATTCTCAAGCAAAACCTTCATAACTGACAGATCCTCTTTCAATCGATATGACTTAGTCGCAGCAATCAGAGCAGTTTTACCGAACTTGTTAGCAGTATTCACATTGAAATCACTCAGTTTCATCACATAGTTGACGATATCTATATTTCCAGTGCATGCTGCTTTAATGAGCAACGTATCACCATTGCTGTCTGTGATCTTTGGGTCAGCTCCTGCCTTGATGAGCAGCTCCATACATGGGATACTCTCAGCGTGACAGGCGTTCATTAAGGCAGTAACAGCTGGCCCATGTTGAATACTACTAATCATGTTCACTTCTGCACCTCTCTCGATGAGCATCTCAACTATTTTTTCCTCACCACCATCACAGGCAAACATAAGAGGTGAACAAGGAATTGCATTCTCGTAATCAATAGCACCTAAAAGAATATCAGTCTCCCCATCTCCACTTTCACTGTGTTCATCATCATCATTATTCACCAGATTGTCATCTGCACCATTGTTATTTACATTGACAACAACTCCTCCTTCACCACCATTATCATCTGCATCATTGTTAATCTCAACTTCACCATCATGAACAACATTGTCATTTGGGCTGGAATATTTCCAGCATTTTGAACATTATCACCGGGTTGTTCGTTAATACCATTGTGTGGTATTTCCAGGTTATCACCAATTGCTTCCAGATTATTGTTTTGTGGATCAGCATTACCAGCAATGTTATCTGCATTGTGTAGCTCAACAGGATCATTGTCAGCTTCTCCATGTTCAAGTATTGGAATCTGATTGTGATTGTTTGGTTCAGCATTGTTTTCATTTCCAATGCTTTGGGACTGCTTTCTTTTATCATTATTGTCCTTGACATTTTGTTGTGGCTTGTCCATTGCATTTACATCAGTTCTGTCATATGATAATAATACTGCAAGTTTTTCATGGTTCTTATCCTCACATTCAATACATCTGTGTAATGCAGTTCCCAGGAAGCATGGTTTGTTAGGATCAGCACCATGCTCCATTAACAGTTTTACCATATCAGGGTCAGGACAGTTCATTGCACAAGTCAGTGCAGTTTGGTCTTCAATACGAATATCAAGTGACACTCCTTTTTCAATAAGCCAAGTTACAAGTTCTAAATTATTGTGGACAACTGCGAGCATGAGGGGTGACATACCAGCATCTATATCAGTCCTGTCATCAAACAGAAGCGGATTTCCAGGTGGATTAAGCACGGGATTATCAAGAAAATCCATGTTCTCATCACTTGGTATGAAGTCGATAAGTGCACCCTCGGAGATAATGTATTTCACCACTTCCGGTATGTTCTTATAGCTCCCAACATGGAGCATTTTCTCAAGGCACTGAGTTTGTACTTCTTTTTTGCAATTGTCTTTCACCCATTCGTACATAGATGTCACTATGTTCATATCGCCAGACATGACGTTAGAGATGAGGCACTCTCTGCAGGGCTCTTCATCGCAACAAGGCCCAGGGACCCAACAAATACTCCTGCCTGATGGATTTGAAGCTTCCATTTCCTCCATGGTACATGTACAAGCCTTGAAAGTAAGAAAATTATTCATAATTACGTGATATGCATTCATACATATAGAGGGAGGCAATCAGTTCAATTTCATATGTTTTTATATGTATGTTTTCTAAATGCATGCATATATGATGCGCAATAGAACCTAATAAAATAAAAAATGTATGTTGTGCAATCTGGTCTTAGTTTATTACTCTGACTCAATTCGTCAGTTTGCCGATGATGATCATCATAAGTTTATTGTCAAGGAGGATTGGCTCCCAGCATTCCATCCTGATATTTGGTTGTTATATGGAGTCATGACATGATTCAAAATCAAACAGTTGTAATTTTTACACTTCAGAAATAGAATCGCGAGTTTTTGTTCTGACAAAAAATTGCAAAACACACAAGAAGTGATCAAGATATAAGTTCAAGCGTGGAGATCAAAGTATTGAGTTGGAACCCTAGGAACTTATCTGGTCCGAGGACAACAATCCTGCCAAATCAAGGCTTTGTCCGTAAATGCCCTGTGGCTGAGATTGCCCCTGGCCCTAAGCTTCATCGATCATGATGAGTTTGTCTCGGTGAAAATAATCAAAATTCACAGTCAGCACTATCAATGGTATACTCTACCTTTAGTAATATATAGTGCTGACTGTGTCAAAATTTCACGAAACAAAAATCAGAAATGCATTGACTGACTAGTGACTGAGGTACTATATATTTGCGCTACAGTCTGTTACACTGCTTCAAAGGCAAGCAGTTGAACCTGAAAAATAAGAAATCTATAGACCATTGTGCCATAATATATAGAAAAATATATTCATATTGCACACGAATGACATTTGTATATTTCAGATTATTTAGTGTTTAGTGCAATAAGCCTGTGCCCTCTTGTAATTTGAGGTCTGTCTGCCATGTTATTTTTTGAGAATTAACATGGTAGAGAAGCATCAAAATATAAGAGCAGTACTGTCAACCCCCGTGAACATTTAAAGGATTTGCATGATTCAGGCCTGTCAACTGTCCCGCAATTTGCGTATTAGTCACGCATTTGCTGAAGAATTTGAAGTCACGCCAGTTTTTTTGCGTGACACAAAATGTCACGCAAATACGCATTTTACCTGGTAATTGTCACGCAAATATGTTTCTGTAAAAAAGTTTTCAAAATATGTTTATGATACGGTAAAAATACGAACGTCGGAAAAAAACGAACGCAATTTGTTCGGATTTGTCACGCGAATCCCGTATATGTCACGCATGTTCATTGGAAATTTTCGTACCTACCCCCCCCCCCCCCCCCCCCCCCCCCCCCCCCCCCCCCCCCCCCCCCCCCCCCCCCCCCCCCGTTGACGACATCGCGAGCGTAGCGAGCGCGAAAAATTTGAGGTGATAAAAGTTTAGCAAAGGTGCTCAAACTTTGGCCAAAGGTGTTTAAAAGTTGGCCAAAGGTGTTCAAAATTGGGACAAAAGTGTTCAGATTTGGACTTCAGTGTCCAACATTTGTAAGTCACTCATATTAGGTGGTCCCAAGTTGACAGCCCTGATGATTGTGCGAATAAGTCACCAAAGACTTCATAGGGGGACAGATCTTTTAAGACAAAGTGCCCTAAATTCGCGGGATTTGCGGGACATTCACCTAAATTTGCGGGATTTGCGTGATTGGGGCACATGTCAAATCAAACTTTCAGATACTGATTTATCAAACATCAAAAAACCACGCTTTAGGTGTGAGTATTGTAATCCAACACAAAATTCAAAAATTCTGAACAATACTTTGCACTTTTGGCATTCTTGACCAACGTCAGGCCTGTCAACTGTCCCGCAATTTGCGTATTTGTCACGCATTTGCTGAAGAATTTGAAGTCACGCCAGTTTTTTTTGCGTGACAGAAAATGTCACGCAAATACGCATTTTACCTGGTAATTGTCACGCAAAAATATTTCTGTAGAAAATTTTTCAAAATATGTTGACGATACGGTAAAAATACGAACGTCGGAAAAAACCGAACGCAATTTGTTCGGATTTGTCACGCGAATCCCGTATGTGTCACGCATGTTAATTGGAAATTTTCGTACCTACCCCCCCCCCCCCCCCCCCCCCCCCCGTTGACGATATCGCGAGGGTAGCGAGCGCGAAAAATTGAGGTGTCCAAAATTTGATTAAATGCAATAAAATTGAAAAAAGGTGCTCAAATTGTGGCCAAGATGTTCAGATTTGGACCAAGGTGTCCAAAATTTGAACAAAGGTGTTCAACATTTGCAAGTCACTCATGTTAGGTGTCCCCAAGTTGACAGGCCTGCAACGTCCAACTATAAAACATTTACCCCCACATAGTGTTATATATTAAAATGTACCTATTCATATAGGGGTTCGATTATCTACATCAAATTATAGGGAGCCAGGTTTCTTTTTGATGTATCAGTGTCCATTTATTGGAACTTGCGTTTACTAACATTTGCTCAGTTCTGAGATGGAGGCCGTGACTAGCGTAGTTAAAAGGCCAACGTTGGAACTATTCGTGGCATACATTCCTATTTTTCTAATTAAAATGAAAATTACACTCTTCCTCTTTATTTTGATTAAGGAATAAATAATGATAGGCCATTCAATATGGTGAAATTCAGCACGAGTTGGACAGAATGTTGTACAAAGCACGAACCGAAGGTGAGTGCATTTGTACTAACATTCTGTCCAACGAGTGCTGAACTTCACCATATTGAATGGCCTATCATTATTTATTCCGATTCAAACATGAAAATTAGTAAAAGCCGTGTCTGTGGAACGGGCATGAAGGAAGAATACGCATGCTGTCAAGATTCTGAAGTCGGCCGGAAAAATTTTAGAATTTGTTTGGGCTGTTCTATTTTACTCCCCGTTTTAGATTTTATACGGTGTATAAACTTGAAGTTAGTCAGCCATAGTTAAATAGTTACAGTAGTTACGGAGGGAGTAAAAAAGAACAGCTATCCCCGGACAGAGCCCCAGATGTGCAGCTGAGATGTGACGTCACTCAAAACAATGCAAATTGCAGATTGAATAGAGCATGGTCGTGCATCTATGGAGAATTAGAGAACGTTCTATATTGGCTATGCTGCATTCTGATTGGTTGAGAAATTTGAATAGAGCACGGTCATGTTTGAATACCAAATAACGTCATACTAGGTACTTGAGAAGCCAACTATGGTGTTATTTGGACCAAAATCACAGTTTTATAAATGGACTATATGGTCTTTCCAAAAGCAGTCTTTGATGAGCTGATGCACTGGGAGTTTGGCAGCACTTTTCAAATTAGGTCGCGGAGGACAAAGCCGACATTTGCAGAACTTAGTGGGATATTACAGGACACGCAAATTAGCCAAATTTAGATCAAATTCGCGGGATAATCCCGCCATTCGCGGGACACTTGACAGCTCTATGTCTATGTCAATAATCTGCAAAAGGCTAATAAGCCCATATCAAGCAGATATATAATTTAACAGTGATAGAATTTGAATAGAATATAATTTAAAACCTTAACATTTAAAAATAGATCTATGGTTAACATCTCATTTTACCTGGGGAGACTGTCAGGCTACCGCGTTGACATCACCCCTCTTTACCAGTACTGCAGGCTTGTTGCTGTGCACTGGGGACCCTTTACATTAAAACATAGATCTATATTAAAAACACACCTATTTAATTGCAGTTATTGACATAGGCATAGTATGATGATTTAAAACTACTTAGACTGTCACAGTCTAAGATGTCACCAGGTAGAGTGTTCCATTTAGCTATTGTCCTAGGGAAATAGCTAAATTTGTATGCATCCGTTCTAGTTGATGGTTGTATGAACTTAGAAGGATGATACAACCTGGTGTTGGTATTGATCTGTTGGCGGAAGTATGGAGGCACGTCGATGGCTGCTAGGTTCTGCTTTCCTTTGTAGAAAAGGAAAACTCTAGCAGCCTCTCGACGCTCCTTCAGTGGCTCCCACTGTAGGTCTTGAAGAGCTTTGGTGACGCAGCCTGGTTCCCTTGAGTGACATTTGGTTACAAACCTGGCTGCTCTTCTCTGTACCTGTTCCAACATATCAATATCTTTTTGTCGGTATGGATCCCATGCCGAGCTGGCATACTCTAAATTCGGCCGGACTAGTGACTTATACGCCTGAGACTTCACTTTTTCAGGGCATTGATGGAGGTTGCGCCTGAGAAATCCAAGCACCTTATTGGCTTTGGATACAATAGTTTGAATATGTGTAGTCCAGCGTAAGTTATTTGTGATGTCAATTCCTAGGTATGGGATGTGTGTTACCGACTTAAGGTTTTCCCCTAGCATGGTGTAATTGTGCATGATAGGGGATTTACCTTTGTGAATATTTAGCACATAGCATTTTGATGGATGGAATTTCATTTGCCATGTTGATGCCCAGGAGACAAGTTTATCAACTCTGTAATCAGCTCTGTACAGTTGGGGACATAAATAAATGACAGGTGGATTTGCTGAAGTGAGGATTTCCCATGTTAAAAATAAGAGAATTTACAAGAGGCCATAAATCAGTGGATGATATTATACAAAATGTAAAATATACAAATTTTAAGGGATATGTATCTAGACAATATTGGAAATTATGGGCTTTCAGACCACCATAATTAGGAAATGGTGATCGAAAATCGACCTGTCATTTATTTTTGTCCCCAAAACTGTAAGAGTACAGACTTTATAAGCCAATTTACAAGCAATCCAACAAATACAAATGTCATTTGTGTGCAAAATGAATATATTTTTCTATATTTATTGCACAATATTATTTAGATTTCTTATATTTCAGGTTTAACTGCTTGCCTTTGAAGCAGTGTAACAGCCTTTAGTCTAGCCTTACTCGAGTCTCTAGCTTACAGCTAGACGAAACTTCATTGATTTCGTATGTACTGTGCTATACGCACCTACACGCACCTAGAACTCATTTTTAATAAATTTTATAAATAGTTTTAAGAATATTAATCATATTTAGGATGAAGCGTTGCTTGTCTGGATTTAGATATTTCAAAACTTCATTTCGGAGTTTGACACATGGTGAAATTTTCTCGCTGTAGCTAAAAATGGCTTCCGGTTCTGGACGTGAATAACATTTGAAATTATTCTCGCTTAAAGAAATCAAATATAACAATAGATTCAGACGGGGATGTGAGCTGATGTTCTTCAAATCTATACATAAAGGTATATTTCATATTATTATGCCATATTTACTGTGCGTGTGACACAATGATTTACAATATTTATAATACTAAGGCAGCTCAATCTTCCTCCTCAAAGCCGGAATATAGAGAAGGCTTTGGACCGAAGTAAGTCTAGCCATCATTAGATAGCCTAGAAATATTGATAAGAGGTAGACATCTCTTACTTTAGTTTTCAAATTCAGTTGCTCTACTTGAAAGTGAAATGTTTATATATCAAACAGTAACAAGCAACTTACAAAATATCACCATATAATACGCAAGAAATTCTTCTACTTTATTGATGATTTTGACGAACTTTTTAGAATTTTTTACATCACCTTTGTGCGCATGCGTCGTACTTGTTAAAGGAGTCCTATAGAGTAATCACGAAATCATAATGAAAAGGGAATTTGATTTTCTCACTGTGTATTTCTCACTCTCAGACTCTGAGTCATCCAAATAGTTAGTTCTATTTGGTAAAAACTAATACATTTAAATAAGACTCTCGTCTCGCCTATCAAACTTCTCAAATCTCAGGTCAACTCTAAAGAACTTTTTCTGTCACATGACTGTCATGTGACCAAGTATTTGTCAAGGTCATTGGATGAGGAAGTGAAAAACAAGTTTATTTATTTTTCCAAATATATTGTGCTTTACAGTAGTTTCCATGTATATTCTTGATGCGATCTTCATAACATTGTAATCCACAGTGAAAAGTAGGTTCATTTCTTCCATTGTCACTTACTTGTTGAACCAGATCTAATACTGAAAAAAGAGAAAAAGATTAGATCTACTTTTATAGACTACAGTGGGGATCATAAAGAATTGCAAAAACTATGAAAATTACATGCTGTCGCATATGTAATAAATTCTTACCTCAGTGTATTCAGTGCTCTATTTCCTCCGTCTTAAGTCCAAATATAGTGGAATGTGTGTCCCTAATGACAAATAAGAACTTCAAAAGTTGAATTGGATATTCACATGTTATGCCGACTCTTCAAATGTTGAGGTGATTTTGTCGCCCGATTGCGCCGGAACGGAGGATTGGCTCCCAGAATGCAACATGACACGTGCCAGCTTTCAAAATGCTGTTCCGCCATTTTGAAACCTGTCATGAGTAAATACGGTTAACTGATGTTGCATTCTGGGAGTCAACCGTCCTTGGATAACAAACATGGCGATCCATGAAAACATTCATTCGATTTCGTAGGGATTTATCCATTATTTGCAGGTAAGAAGCTTTGGATTCATTTATTGTGCTACTTTAGTGAACGGGAATTATTTTTCTACCGCTTGGGAGAGTTTGAGACACGAAACTTGGAAATAAGCTCATTGTGACAACTTGTGAACGTTGAGTTTTATTTTTGTCCCCCACTGTAGACTAGAGTCCATTTCACTGCTTCATTTCGTCAGTAGAACGGCAAACATAAGAAATTGGGAGACCATTGTGCAATAATATATGGAAAAGTATATTCATAATGTACATGAATGACATTTGTATATCTTGGATTGCTTCTAGTTTGGCTTATAAAGTGTGTGGCCTCTTATATTTGGATGTTTCTCTGCCATGTTATTTTCAATAAGATTAACATGGCTGAAATTCTTCAAATTACAAGATGGCACAGGCTTATTGCACAAAAAACTAAAAAATCTGAAATATACAAATGTCATTCATGTACATTATGAATATACTTTTCAATATATTATTGCACAATGGTCTCCCAATTTCTTATTTTTGCCGTTCTACTGACGAACTGAAGCAGTGAAATGGACTCTAGTCTAGAGTCTACAGTTGGGGACAAAAATAAATGACAGGTCGATTTTCGATCACCATTTCCTAATTATGGTGGTCTGAAAGCCCATAATTTCCAATATTGTCTAGATACATATCCCTTAAAATTTGTATATTTTACATTTTGTATAATCTCATCCACTGATTTATGGCCTCTTGTAAATTCTCTTATTTTTAACATGGGAAATCCTCACTTCAGCAAATCCACCTGTCATTTATTTATGTCCCCAACTGTATAGATCTAGACTCTACAGTTAAAATTGTTTGGAACTTACTTGAATCTAACAAATAAGCAATCAAAGGACCATATTGAAACAGAACATTTAAAAATAGAAACATTTATACATGTCCTAATTTGTATAATTTGAAAAAGTTAGGATTTTTACATAATGTTTCCATTTTTTTCATATACTGTTGCAATATACATGTAGCTTACTTCCTGCGAAAGCTATGTGGATTTTGATAGCTTTCCCACAAAATATAGCCATTTGATTGTTTATTTTTTAAATTCAAAGTAGTTCCAAACATTTAAAATTTTACTGTAATTGATAGAAGTTCCACTGTTTTGTCATTTTCACATGAGGCAGCAGCAGGTTTACCTAAATTTAGCACATACGACTATAGTCCAACAACATTAGACCGTTTCTTCTCTGACATGTCTTATGGCCCTGGCCCCAAGTAAGATCAGATTAATGAATAAGCTGAATTAAAGATGCAGTATACATGTAGGTTTCTCGCCCAGACAATCAATGATGTCCCATTATTATTGCTCATATCTCACATACCATGGATATACTCAGGCCTGTCAACTGTCCCGCAATTTGCGTATTTGTCACGCATTTGCTGAAGAATTTGAAGTCACGCCAGTTTTTTTTGCGTGACAGAAAATGTCACGCAAATACGCATTTTAACTGGTAATTGTCACGCAAAAATATTTCTGTAGAAAATTTTCCGAAATATGTTTACGATACGGTAAAAATACGAACGTCGGAAAAAAACCGAACGCAATTTGTTCGGATTTGTCACGCGAATCCCGTATATGTCACGCGTGTCCATTGGAAATTTTCGTACCACCCCCCCCCCCCCCCCCCCCCCCGTTGAAGACATCGCGAGCGTAGCGAGCGCGAAAAATTTGAGGTGATCAAAGTTTGGCAAAGGTGCTCAAACTTTGGCCAAAGGTGTTTAAAAGTTGGCCAAGTGTTCAAAATTTGGACAAAAGTGTTCAGATTTGGACTTAGGTGTCCAACATTTTGAAGTCACTCATATTAGGTGGTCCCAAGTTGACAGCCCTGTATACTGTATCTTGAGAATAACTTATGCATGATACATGTATTTTCGAAATATTGAAATAATCAACAGAACAACAAACCTTCAGAATTAAACACAATTGATTCCTCGGTTAGCTAGGGGAATCCCCATTGAGTCATGCATGCCAATCAGGTTCATGATAAACAAGTTCAGCGATCAATCATAGTTGATAAATCAGATTAAAGGGGAATTTTCCAGGTATATTCAAACTTCAGATTGCATTAATTTCCACGAAAATAATTAGATAGGCCAGTACAATCTGAAGATTAACACTAAAAGCGGGGGATTTGGGACTTCATTTGTAAGTAGATAGGTGAATATGTGGTGAAACTCAATATGCAACAAGGTCCAGAGGGGTCTTGATTTTGCTAGCCTATCCTATGGCATAGAGTCTCTTTAAGTTACAGTGTACTTGTTGAATAGACGTGGAAGTCCAGTGGAAAACACTGACCAGTTGGTGGTCGGTAGGGTCGGTCATTTTCATAAACCCCAAATGTTTGTTTATTTTGACTAATTGGATTGCTTTTTGATGCTAGGCATCAATGTGGGGGAAAATTTTGAATCACCCCCACTCCTACTTTGTATTGAAATCTTGCGATTGAAAAATTTGTCAGTAGTTGGCACAAAGCTGAATCATGTATAGTAAATGAACACATGACCTTACATATGTTCCAGGTATATCTCTGTCGCAACAAGTTCCTGTAACAGCTTTCAATTGTATCCTTATACAGTATGAACGACAAGTTACATGTATGCATACATATGATGTACATGAAAATGTAGCTGTACAAAAACATCAAGTAATGGCTGCCCCACCTATCCCACCGCGTAGGTTTTCTAGATCAGAGGGCCCACCAGCATTTATAGAAGCAGCCCTGCAATTACCATACTTTCATGGAGCATTACAAGATAAACAAGAGGTAGGTATACCTCAATGTAGTACATGCAATTTATTATGAATTCAGAAATGTCCTATACACATTGTGGAGAACATTTAATATATCTTGCCACATTTCCACACCTTTGCTCTTTAACACCTAATAATAACCAATGTAAAATGACCTACTTTATAATGTATTGAGAATGATCTGTCAATGTATGATCATCTAGAAATGTGTAAACATCCAATTTAGCCAATTTTGTTGAATATAGGTTGAAAAAAACAAAGTATTTGACTATTGGCACCAAGTCATGTGTGGCCTGGAATTGTGGTATAATATGGTGATATTCCATGATTGTGTATATGATTTGGTGCAATACAATCACACATTGCTCAGTGACTGACTATATAAATCTTTCTACATATCTCAGGAAAGATCACAAAACATGGCACGCATCCAAAGATTTTGTTCTTTTTCAGGTAAAGAAAATTATGCGTCTCCACTATGATGAGCCAGGAACATTCCTAGTGAGAAAGAGCTTCAGTAAAGAGAACACACTAACCATAACTGTAGTGTAAGTTATTCATAGTGCATACATACATGTTTATGTATATGAGACCAAGCACAGTGAAACCTATTAGGTGTTTGAACACCTCTAGAAGCGGAACACCTCTGTTAGTGGAACACTATAAATGAGATTTGTCAGGCTTTGGTAGGATATGAATGGTATTGGTCATGCATGGAATATGAATGTTATTTGTTAGGTCTGGGTAGGAAATGATATTGGCCAGACATGAGTAGGATATGAATACTATTGGTCAGGTCTGGGTAGGATATGAATGATATTGGTCAGGCAAGGGATATGAATGTTATTTGCTACTGTAGGTCTGATTAGGATACGATATTGGTCAGACACGAGTAGGATATGAATAATATTGGTTAGGTCTGGGTAGGATATGAATGATATTGGTCAGGCAAGGGATATGAATGTTATTTGTTAGGTCTGATTAGGATATGATATTGGTCAGACACGAGTAGGATATGAATGATCTTGGTCAGACACGAGGAGGATATGAATTATTTTGGTAAGGCTGGGGTAGGATATGAAAGATATTGGTCAGACAGGAGTAGCATGTTTATATTGGTCAGGCTTGGGCTGGATATAAATGATATGGATGAGGTGGGATAAGATATGATATTGGCCAGGCTTTGGTAAGATATGAATGCTAATGGTTATTCGCCACTCTTGAGAATTTCAATATTTTCTTTTTGAGTGTATATCAAAGTTATAGCCATGGCATGTAAACAGATATTTGAAAATATACAAGTACAATTTGTGAAAATTTGAACACACTCGCTGCAAAATTGACAAAATGCCAGCACCAGTCCTGGCCTGTTACTTTTGGAACACCCTGTATAAATGCAATAATCAGTGTTAAAACAATGAATAAATAATTAACTATAGTGAGGTTGACAGTACTAGAATAAAACAAATATTTTATTCTACTTTTAGTGAAATTATCTCACATGTCTAAGGCAAATATGTACAGTAAATAACATTTTGTGACATAATTTATATATTATTGCAGGTTTGACCATTCCTTGAAGCACTTCAACATCACTGCTAAACAAAATTTATACTACCTTCTGGAGGAGAAAACATTCAAGCGCCTTCAAGATTTATGCACGTTTTATTCTACAACCCAGGTACCTAATCTAGAAGGAATACCAGGGATATATCTCCTTAACCCTAAATACAGGGAGTCTGACCCACCACCTGTTGGTGATGATGAAGATTCTAGCTCAGAAAAGTTGAGACCTCAACTGTCTTCAAGCTCTGGAAAGCCAGTACGTCGTATCTCTTCAGATCGTTTACCTTTAAGCCCAACTGGAACAAATTCAAGACCAGTACCTATACCACGAAAATCAAAAACAGCAAGCACTTCGGAAAATTCAAATATGACTCACGTTATGAATGGTTCAGTGAACTCAAGTAGAACAAGTCAAAGTACATTTAATAGCTTTGTAGGGGACCTTGATGGAAACCTCAGCCCAAATGAATCAGAATTAACAATGCGCCATCATGAAATGTCAGGCAAACAAGATGATACAGATGGAACTTGTAAATCATTGAGAGAATACATTAATAAAAATGAATCGGTGTATTATGCCACAGTGCGTGACCTCTCTAAGGACCACACAGATGAGTTAATCGCAGTTTTAGAGCAACAGGAATCGTCAAAATGTGAATGCGGGATTTATCACAGATATTCTGAATTACCAGGGGGTTGGACAGTGCATCGTAGTAAGGAACAAGGTAGCTGGGGTCAATTATTTTTCATGTCTCCTGATGAGGTATCATCCTGGTCTCTTCCTGCTGATATTTTATACCAGTTACAGCCTGAGGATCATACTTTACTTAACAAACTTGCTGCGCAGGGGGCTGGGAGTATAGGGTATAAACAGGATCATTCAGATGATGTCTTTCATCAACTTTCTTAAAAAGGTTGGGATTATTGTACAGTAGGGGTCAGATGATAAACCAAAAGCGTGGAGTCACGCCCATTATTGGCCTTGATTGTTTGTCATCATTGGCCTCGATGGTTCAGAAAAATTGTTTGGTTATGGATCATTGATCAAGGGAAAATTACCATTAGGCTAGTAAATGCATGTTTGGAAAAATGTTATTGATCGCAAAAATGCCTGATTGACAAAAATGTGCAAAAGTGCAAAATACAGAAATGTACAGAGATCGTACAGGCTAATTTTGTTTTATATTCTTTATCATAGCAGAATATAACAGTGCGGTAAGAACTGAGAAAACCGAACTCAAAATTTTGAAACTGTCTGACCCCTTGTGTACAGGTGAAGGTTAAGAACCAGATCATTTGGATGATGTTATGCAATTGTTGCTCCGTAGGGGGATTAATTCAATTCAATTTATTTCACATTTTTTATGTAATAATATACAGGGTGGTCCAAAAAAGTGAACCCTTGCAATTAATAAGCTATATCTCAGTTATTAACCACATTAATATGGGCTATGATCACTGGTACTCACCTAGTTACCCTAGTTAAGATGGAAGAACTTCCGGGCTTTGTTTTCGGTAAGATATTTTTATTTCTCGATTCTACACCACTTATAAGTCAAGTTGTGGACAATAATTTGGCTCAAAGTTAAGGAAGATAGTCTAGTTTGAGAATATGTAGGTGGTTCTAGGTTTGGTATATTAACTAAGACACAATTTACATATTTAGTCCCTCTCTTTTGTTATGTTGACAATCTTCATGAATATTGCCAATGTGACAATATTCATGAAGATCAGCATATGCAACTGCACACTAACTATCAATTTTATGTACAATAAAGCCTGTTAAGTGGATACCTCTAAAGTGGAACACTTTTGTAAGATCAACACTTTTTACAATTTTGTAACCGTAACCCCTTAATGTTAATTGAAATAATTAAACGAAACACAGAACTGTTTTTTTGGAAATGTTGAACATACATAGGCTTTAGGCTCTAATAGGCTCGTGTAATTTGTCCTAGCTCTGTACCCTGTTCCTAGTAGACTTCAGTTCCTTACAGAGAGGGTACATAAACATGTAAGTCAATGAAAAAATATTTAGTTCATTTGAAAAATGTTCCTTGTAGAGAGGTGTTTCTTACAGAGAGGTGTTCCTGCGGACAGGTTTTACTGTACTATCAATAACTTAGATTTAATCTCACAACCAGATTGTGTCTGAATATTGATATTCATATTCATTATGAACAGGTTCCAGTGAAGTTTGACATTTTTCCAGTTTGACAAAAGTATAAACAAAACTATTTTATAGGTGTTTTTACTCATGACATATTTATTCATTGCAACAATTTAATACTATATGCAGTTTCATACAGCTACTAAAGAAATGTACATTGCACACATATAATTTATAATTGAAAATGCATTATGTATATAAGAGCACTTTAAAATGTTTAAAAAAAAGTTGCAGGTCAATGACTTTGTATATATGTGTTCATTTTGTTATTAATACTTATGAATAACATTAGTTTATCACCTCAATGTGTTATAAGCATGGTTTTTCAAAATAAAATGTATTTTTATTTGTTTAAAAGTGGGCTATGCTGTATATGTAGATCTGATTCTGCCTTTAATTTACATTTTTATTTCTTTCTCTAGTCTTACTTCAACATGATAATTTGCTGAATATATAATATTGTCTAAAATGACACAATGTTTGTTTTTGTGAAGAAATAGATTTAAAGGGACATTCCTTGCCAAACTATTTCCCGGATTTTTCTCTCCTGATATGGTAGCTATGGTCAATATTCACTCTACTATACCTTGCATTTGGCGTTCATGAGCAACCCATTTGGCTTATTAGTAATGATTATGTTATTTGTTTTGTTCCTTATTGATGGTTTATCGGATGACGTTAGATGTTAATAATGTTCTTTCAAAAATATACTAAACAATACAATTGGACAAACAGAGTATCATATGCATTGTTAGGGGTTAGGTATAGTAGAGTGATATTGATCATTTAAAATGTAGTACTCATTTCCAGTAAGCAGCCATATTTTAAGATTTCATTCAGGAAGTGATGTCATCAACTCTCACCTGTTATAACCTTGCCTATCACAGTATAGTACAAGATCACTTCTAGACAAAAAGTCCTCATCTTCTGTGCAGATATATGTTCAGGGATTGTCAACTTAGAATGAAGAAATTATCAGAAGGATTTATTAAAATCATAGACAATTCCATTTACATACGTGAAAATTTCAAAAACAAAACAACTGAACAAAACTAAGGATGACAGCTTAATATGTGTGTAGCCAGGATCTACATTTTACAATGTGCATATAGACAAGGCAAAAATAGGCAAGGAAATTCCAGGCAAATTGAGTAATATTAAAGGGTGAGCCAAAGAACTTTGAGAATGTTTTGTAAAGTGGCCATAAAATCGTGACCCTTAAGAATAGGCCATTGACACCTGGAAGAGAGACATTGAACAAGGTTTGTTTGTGTCAAATGTAGCAAAATCCTGCCTTATGCCTATCTATGTGCATGGACTAACTAGAATTAACTATATGATCCCATTTTGTAAATCCGAGGATAGATACATAACCTCTTATTTGGAAACAAACCGTTCTTAGGCTAAGGAGAACCATGGGGACAGCTGTCTCAAAGATGTTATAAATTTTGACAAGAAATACAATTTAAAATGTGTATGAAGAAATGGCCTCTTAATGGTTTGTTTAAAGTGTAATTTGTTCAATTGTTCCTGAACCTGTTGACTGGTTATACTGAAACTTTCAGGAACACATTTTCATAGAACTGTTCTGGTGTTTGCAAATTTTCATTGATGTCACTTGTCTACATGTAGTTTAGGAGATATTGTCTGAGGATTATTTTGGTATACATTGTCTTTCAAATAGCCCCACAAAATGAAATCAGGTGGATACAAGTTGGGGGCATATGGAGATGAAGAGTTATCTGACCTATGTCACTTGTCTGGTTAAGGAGATATTGCCGACTTCAATGGTCTCCTTTTTTACGGTCACCTTGTATGATACCTGTAAACGTTATTTTTATTCATTCATTTTAAGTACCTCCAGACCTCAGACCTAAACTTTGCACTAAAATAGCAAGTTGTGAACACATGCCTTTCGTTTAAGACTCGAAGTATTTGGTATAATATGAGAACATCAATGTATATTTCACTGAACTTGACACGAATCTCAATAAATAAAAGGAGAATTCCATCATTGTTAATACCCATTCCAAAAATAAAGGGTTTTACTTTTTGGGCCACCCTGTACTGTTATCAACAATAATGATAACATTTGAAGAGCACTCCCGCACGGGCTGGTATCGAAATATTTGTCCGCTGTGACGGAGCATAATATTTTTCATAAGAACACTAAGAATACTTCACGATTTATTTTTTAACTCATATGTTTCGTTATACCATAGAAAATTACTTACTCCATGCAATGGATATATCATTTGCGGGTAACTTTCACTTCTGTTTGAAGTTCAATTACGCTGGGAAGAAAAGCTATTGAAAATGGCGCCGGAGTATCATACTTCAAAATGTACCATTTCTTGTTTAACTTTCTATTGGCACGATGTAGTGACACGATAATATTTACACATGGTTTCAGCATAACTAAGAAGGTATAGATGAGATGCTGATGTATTTGGTCTTTTTAATTCTTTTATAAAAAATAATTTTTAATTTTTCTGTCCGCTGTGACGGAGCAGTTGCAAATGTGAACTTTGAAAATGCTCCGTCACAGCGGACAAAAAATATTTATATTATTTTTTATAAAAAGAATTAAAAAGACCCAATGCATTAATATCTCATTAATACATTCAGAGTTATGCTGAAAACATATATCAATATTATCGTGTCACAATATCATGCCATTAAAAAGTTAAAAAAGGTACATTTTAGAGTTTGATACTCTGGCGCCGATTTCAATAGCTTTTACTCCTAGCGTTATTGGACTTCAAACAGAAGTGACGGTTACCCGCAAATGATATATCCATTGCATGGAGTAAGTAATTTTATTTGATATAACGAAACATATGAGTTAAAAAATAAATCGTGAAGCATTCTCAGTGTTTTTATGAAAAATAGCATGCTCCGTCACAGCGGACAAATCTTTCGATACCAGCCTGTGCCCGAGAATAAATTAAACAAGAATAATTTCTTAGTCATCCACATGAATATCAACACTCATTTACTCACTCGTTTTATATATGATATAAACTCGACAACCAAAATAATACCACTCAAAATGATCTGATATTCTGAATATTAAAAACAATATCGAAACATGTAAACATCCAAATTGATATTTATTTTTCATGAGAAGATACTCTGTTACACAAACAAATGTAACACCAGTGCCTTTCTCTTCACTTCTTGCGAGAATTAGATTAATTTTCTTCCTTGAGAAATCTCTTCCTTTCTGATGGTCACCGTGTAATCATCTATTTCGACTGGAATAAGAATTTTAAAATATAAATTAAGGGAAATACCGTCCAATGGACGGGTCAAAAATGAAAAAATAAACACTTCTTATGGCTTGATAAGTCAGCGATCTCTTTTAGTCCCTTGGTCATATTGATTTCAATGAATCTATATTTCTAGATATGACTCGAACGTGCATGATAAAATAAAACATTTTGAAGTATTCACCTTTTTTGCATACACTTTTTTTGTTAGGCTATTTGGATCGTTTGGGGTTATACATAATGCGCCCTTTAGGTAGCACTCTGTCACGTCAGATTTGTACACAAATCCTCCACATATCACATTTTCATTGCAACGCTTTGCACATGTTTCCAGTGGATCATTTGATACGGATCCTATGTCAGCTCCACCACAGTCTCCCGGTGTTACGTCGTAGTTGTCAAGAGGATTTCCAGATTCTGAAACAAACAAGTCTCACGTTGACAGTCCGTTATTCAACGATATCATTACTGACTGACTATGCTATTAGCTATAGGTTATACCGTGTACACTTCAAATTGGAACGTCATCCCATTCCATGTCATCTCATTTTTCTCAGTCGGGATATAATGTTTATTAGAAAAACGATGTGATACTAGCTAGTAAGTGTCGGAATGAGAATATTGAGGAAAATGTGTGTAGCGATTGTAGTATTTTTAAACACCAGAATGTAAATTGTTTTCAGTCACCATTGTGTTCAGTTGTACATGTATTTCTCAACACATTCTTGCAAACATTTTTTTAAATCGAAAGCTTCTTAGTAAGTAAAAAAGAAATGTTTCAGTTCATATACGCGAAATACGGAACATGAATGCAATTAAAGACTAAAAGGCTAACCAATATTTTGGATAAACTCTTGTGATTCCACCGCTTCACATCTCACCTTCGCAAGTACAAAGGGGGGATCCAGAGGCTCGTTGCAAGCGATTAAATTAACTAAATCATATTTAAATAGTTAGGATTTACCCAATCTGAAACTTACGGCAATTTAAGCAAGCGACTTTATCCTTGATTTCGTTGACACCTTTTATGACATTTTGCATAATTAGCCCCAGTGCGTCGATTTTAATAGTATTTGTCTGAACGACACTTTTTACAGCAGAAATGAGGACCTTGAGTTCATTTGTATTTGTCGTTAAACTGCTACCAACAGACGTTTCTAAACTATCAATTTTGGATTTTATGTCCGCCGTGTTCTGATTGACGTTGTTTTCGATTTCACTTTTAAGGGTACTTAAAGGAGAAATGCTGTTCTCTACACCATCAATTTTGGAACTGATTTGAGTTAAACTACTGGCTATATTGTTTTGTAGGATGTCTTTTACTGAATTTACACCGTTTTCAATTTGATTGGTACCCGATAAAACATTTGCGTTTGCAAGTTCAACACCTGACTTTATTTCAATGGAACGTTCGTCTAATGTTTCCACAGCTTCTTCAACGTTGTTAATGTCTTCTTGTAATGAATTTATGCCTTCTTGGATGGTTGCTGTATTTGAATTGATTGTTCCAAATCCATTCCCTAAAGTAACCTTTATTTCATCAACGTCGGTTTTTATAACAGTTGTTCGCGTGTTTATTTCATCAACGGATTCTTGCAAGTCGTCGATTTTAGTTTCGATGGCGTCGGTGTTTTCATCAATTGAGCCAACACTGCTTTCAATGACTGAAATCTTTGAGTCAACATTTGCTAGATCATTCGTTACATCAGCAACACTGCCCTTGATTTCAGTTGTACGAGTGTCTATTGTATTTACAGATTCTTCTACTAAATCAATATCACCTTTAATTATTGCAGTGTCACTCACTATTGTACTGATTCCTCCTTGAATGGCAACACTGTTTGTTTCAATGTTTGTCAACTTTGTTCCAAAATTGACATCTATATTGTCAACAGTTGTCTTCAGGTCACTTGTACGAGAGTCTATTGTGTTAACAGATCCCTGTAGTGTGCTGACATCGCCTTGAAGCAAGGAAACATCCGACGCAATAGTTGTCAAATCTTTGTTTATCTCTTCCTCAAGATCATCGATTTTAGATTCTACTGCTTCTTTGTTTTCATCCATCTTAGAAATAAGCGCATCCTTTAAGCATCTAAAAGCTTTACTATATTTGCATTTTTCGCCTTCGCCAGACTCCCCCGAATCACGTTTTTTGGACGAGGGTTTTGCATTCGCAAAAAATATACCTAAAACAAACAAATGATCAAGGCTTGCAAAGATGAACATATTTACGTTTTTAATGAACATCTTTGTTTAACAAGGCAAATAACAAAGGTTGAGAGGAGAGGATGGGGGGGGCAAATATGCTCTCGTTGATTCATAATTTACAATATCACATTGTCCAAAATGAAGTAATCATAGATATGTATATATAACTATATATTTGAAAAGTAATAAAGGATAATTAATAAGTCTAAACCATTTTAGTAGAACAACCAATAATCTAAACTATTTATCATAATTACCTTTTATGGATATTTATCAAAATGTTTTTGCTATGATCACAAATACTTTAAAAACAGTAAAACAATATTGCCACGGGATTACATTTGGCTTATCACAATTACAACCCAGTCACAATTGTCGTACGGCGGCAATAAGTCGACCGCAGATCAATTACATCAGTGAATTTCTGCGGCGAGCGTAGAAAAACTACGGTCGCCTTGTTGTCTCCGTACGGCGTACGCAGATTTTTACAGGCCGCAGGGAAGGCGTAGAAATTATATCTCGGAGTTATAATATTTTTTCAATTCTGCAGTCCCGGCAGAAATCAACAATAGTCAGTAGCCAGACCGCAGAAAGGTTCCACGGCGGCTGCACGTCGGGCTTACGGTCGACTTGCGTCTGCCGTAGGGTTTTGATAGGTACCTTTGGAAACAGGTTTTAGGTCATATTTTCTGTCATTTGCTGTGAAAAAGCTTGCAAGACGATTGACTCGATTTCATGGAGCTCGGTTCTTATCCACTTATGAGATTATAATATTTAATTATTGATCATTTTTTTGCCAAGTGTGTATATTGAACATTTTTATGCCGAGAAAAGCGTTCAGTGCTGGCAGATGTTCACTACAGAGAGGGTAATATATACATACTGTATAAGTGGTATTTAATCCGAGTGGTTAATTTTCCGAATGGTCAAATTTCATCATTTTCCTAATTTTAATTTTCCTAATGACAAGAAACCTCCGATTGGATAACATTATAAAGACAATATTTCCGACATTTAATTTTCCGAACCTGGCAAAAATTAGGAAATAGGCAAATTAAATGATTAGGCAAAATTACCACTTATACAGTATTCAATGATGAAGATGTTCTTGCCACATTGAGAATAGACCAAGAAGACTGGACTTGGTTCCATAAAACTATATTGTCTACATGTACCTCAGACCTGCCAACATACGATTTTACGCTATTATAAAAGTTTTGTTTTTTTCTAAAACATTCAACCATTTTCCAGTTAAATTATTCTTTATTTTAGATGATCTACTGTTCCAACTGAAATCTATATTAATCTACCTGAATTTCATTTCACAAATATGCGTTATATCGTTTTACATATTTGACACCATCTTTCTTTACATATTTTTTTTTCTTATTGCACGGTAGACTATTAAATCAGATAATACCACTGTAGTTATATGTCTGTTGTAATTATTCAAAAATACTGCTTTAGGACTTTAATTTACGTTTTTTATCCGGCGATTGTTGTCGAATATAGTTTTACCAATGTGAAAATTAGTCCTCTATAGCGTTCGAGAAAATAAACATTTTTACTAAAACTTACAGTGAGATTGATTTCTGTAGAGATTTTAAAGATTAGCGTTCAATCTTGATTTTAAATGATGAAAAATATTTTAAGCACATTATCATAAGGTTTTACCATAAAAATGACGTCTTACAAACATAAAATAGTTGTTTTGATTTAAAAAATTGACAATATATTTATAGTTTTGCGTACGCAGTGTCGAATTTACAATTTCCTACGCCCCTGAGGGTGTTCACTAGAGACAGGTGTTCATTAGAGAGAGGTGTTCACTAAGACAGGTTTTACTAGTGCAGTTTATTCCTGATTTTATATCTTTAATTAAAATGTAAAAATCATTGAATTACATTCTTCCCATTGTTTTTACTTACAAAATATCGCCAACGGCAGTATTACCCTCATGCTGGTCATCTCCATACTTGTTACCTTGCGTTTGCTGCACGTAATGAGCACAATTCAATTTAGCAATGAATTTCTAAAGGGAAAAAGATCAAAGCTTGTAGTATATCCATTAATCACTATTAAGCAATGATCATTTACTATTATCTAATATGAATTAGTAAATGTTCATGTACATTGACAGCATTGCTAATATCAAATAATATCAAAGGTAGCGTGACTTTGATCTCTTGTCATCATTTAAGTTCAATGATGGTGAAGCAAAAATAACATGTGTCTGAGCAATTTTAACTTCTAAATAACTGACAAAAGATTCCAGCCAAGGTATTCATTTATGTTATAGATTTATACTACAAATGATGCTCCGGGTAAATCAGAAGTTATAAATTAGTAAAACATGCATATAAAAGAGAAAGAGAAATCTTTTACAGAACTCCACCTATAGACAATCAATTGCTAAGGTACGGTTGTCGATGCATAACTTCCCAATTGAACGAGGTCTATACTTCAAGTCAAAAAATCGAAAAGATTTTTTTTACTTCTGTAATCCGAAAAATACAATAGGTGATGAAGAACACTTCTTTTTTGTTGTTCTCAATTAGAACTTAAACTAGCTCGATCTCTATATCTCAGTAAAATAATAAAAAGTATAAATAGTTTTTCTCATTTCAATACAAGTAGTCTATCTTTATACTCCTTGTTAGCGCACGATGAAACAATTGGTGATTGTTTTACAAAAGTTCATAATATTACCAAAAAGTTGTTAAACAAAATTGACGTGAAATCATTACATGCTACTTTGTACTTAGTGATTGTTAAAATTAGATTGTAATTAATTATATTTTGCCATGCATGTACCTGAAAGTTTTATTTGATATTTGCTTTATTGGACTTATATCTCGATGTACCTTAAATGAGATCAAGAGAGCAATAAACTTATTAATAATAAATAAATAATTAAATTTATTATATTACTAATAAATTGATAATAATTATTTAATTGACAAGAAACATATTTAAGGAAACGACCAGTCCGAAGATCATGGCATTTTACAAAAAGAAATTCCGAAAATAATAAGATGAAAATATACTTTGAATACGGTACTTTTGATGAATATCAGTATCACCCATTCATTGCTGCGCTCACTCGTGGAGATATCTACTTAATGATAAAAATGATATTCCTCAATAATCAAAGGATATCCTACATATTAAGAAAAAACATGTTTGATGTTTACAAAGTGGTAGACTGAAAATGAAATAGTGATTAAGATCGGATAATATATTACGTTTTGACAAATTGCATTAGTTTATAATTTAAAGATGGCGCATGAAATGGAAACACACTTTTATTGTTTCACCGTCTCACCGTTTTCATAGTTCATTTGGTAATCTTTCATGATCTTGGCCACGTTATGCGTAATATCTCAAAGAAAGTGTAGGTTTGTTTTGAACAAAGCCTACGATGGTGCCATTGACTTTAATATTTTATTGACGGGCATGTTGCCCCATCCTGTTGCTTGCATTTGGTAATGCCTCGATCACATTTGCTCTACGGCGGCCGTACGACGGCTGTTGCTTCACAAATTCAATGTAGAAAATCTACATCGTACTGCTTATCCATATATATTGTGCTGCACACATTTCTCTCGATTTTTGGAAGCTACGGCCGACGTACGTACGGTTGCCGCACATCAAATGTGACTTTAGGGCGTGGCATTGTGGCATTAGGGCGTCCCTGAGGCAGTCGAAGGTTTTTGAAAAATACCAAGGCGGCCGAAATAGGACCTACCTTGACCCTACGTTGAAGAGTAATATAATTTTGCTTCGCAAAAAAATCATGAGAATAAATGGTTAAAATTTGTTTTGTGGAAGATGTCGATGCAAACTCGTATTTGATGACAAACTGATGTCTCTTTCTCTGGGGGATATAGACCAGATGGATTGTAATTGTACACCCTGACATCAAGAAAAAACAAGAAAATTACAAAGTTCTCCTTTTGCTAATGATCATAACATAGCACTTGAGGTTATTTCCAATGTTTATATAGACAATATCCAGATCATTTGATAACTCCTTATTTTTCATCAATATCAAACCCCTTTATCTAAAGTAAATTAAGTATTAAATAGTGAAGATTAAATGTTAGAGTTTGAAGTAAAAAAGATGACCCGTCAGTAATTTGATTAAAGGGTTATTTTGCCCTTTCAGTCTGCTTATTATCCCACTTAACTTTCGATGTTTCAGTTAAACATCACTCGCAGTCGCAATGCTTCCTTTGACAACATCTTTTTGTATAACAATTACGATATTACATTTGATGTCATTACATCGTAAACAAATCTGCGTTGATACAGGGTGACCCAAAAAATGCAACCCTTCATTTCTTCAATATTTTTCTTAAATGGAGGTTAATTGCTCTGAAATTTGGCACACAAGGACCTCATTCAATGTGGGATCCTCTTGCAAAGTTTCAATAATCATAGTTTTATATTGATAGAGTTGTGGTCATTCCAAAATATGCTCCAAATGTCGTCCATTTTAAATGTTAGGTTTTCGGATGAATCACATTCCCTTCTTTCTGAACATGTAAACTCAAGAAATAATGTGTTCTGGGATCACAAATTCCAGATGAAGTGCTTCAAATGCCCCTTCATTCTGTTAAATGCACAGCTTGGGCTGCCAATTTCCAAAAAACATGAAATCATCAGCCCCTTTTGGTTTGAGGTTGATAATGGCAACACTGTTAATGTTAACACACAGCGCAATATTGGCGTTCCAAGGCAGTTCTAGAGTGACATAGAGGCATCAATAGACAAGAACATTGGTTCTAGAAGGATGGAGCTACCCCTCACACTTCTAATGATAGCCTGGTTCACTAGTCATTTCTATGAGAAGATTATCTCTCCTAGGACGGAGAACCCATGGTCATCCCAGTCTTGTTCTCAATGCCCCGACTTCTATATATGGGGTTATTTTAAGGATAATGTGTATGAAAATAACCCTACCGCAATTGCAGAACTCCAACAAGCAATGGCTACAAAATTTGAGCCATACCCATGGGGAAGAATGCATCCGTGTTATGAACAGTTTTCCTTGAACACTACAAGTTTGTTTTCAGTGATATTGACGACATCTGGAGCACATTTTGAAACAACCATAACTCTATCAATATTAGACTATGATTATTAAAACTTTGCCAGAGGATCCCACATTGAATGAAGTCCTTGTGTGCCAAATCTCAGAGCAATTTACCTCCATTTACGAATATAGAAGAAATGGAGGGTTGCATTTTTTTGGTCACCCTGTACATTCTAGAAAATTAAACTCACTGTAGATAATTTATTCTTAGTGCCCACTTAAGTTTTTTTACAACAGACAAACAAATGATTGTTTTCAGCGTATCTACACCACCCTATGCAGACAGAGCCTGTGGGAAATATTGGGTGCGGCGCAAATGAGCGGAGGGTGCGGAGCTAACGGTCATTTTTGAATTTAAAATTGGGATATTTCTGAAACTAAGCCGTTTTGGGACTTCAAATATACCAAGATATGTGTATTTGACACCAAATATCAATAAAATTGTGAAAATAGTAGTGCAATTCATTTTATAGCGACGCAGTATGCCTTAAATATTTCCCAGACCTATATATTTTGAGACTATCCTTTTAATACTGCGTCCCCAGCATTCATAAAAAATGGTGTTCAAGATACACTACCCATGCAAATTATTTTTGCATCTTGGAAGCCAGGCAATATCTGTGTGATTTTATAAAAATTCGGAAATGTTCTTCAGATATGAGCCCCCTCTAAATATTGGGTGCGGAGCTACGTTTATAGCTCCATAAACGTAGCTCCGCACCCAATATTTAGAGGGGGCTCATATCTGAAGAACATTTCCGAATTTTTATAAAATCACACAGATACTGCCTGGCTTCCAAGATGCAAAAATAATTTGTATAGATAGTGTACCTTGAACACCATTTTTTATGAATGCTGGGGACTCAGTATTAACAGGATAATTTCAAAATATATAGGTCTGGGAAAGTTTTAAGGCACACTGCGTCGCTATAGAATGAATTGCGCTACTATTTTCACAATTGTATTGATATTTGGTGTCAAATACACATATCTTGGTATATTTGAAGTCCGAAAACGGCTTAGTTTCAGAAATATCCCAAATTTAAATTCAAAAATGACCGTTAGCTCCGCACCCTCCGCTCATTTGCTCCGCACCCAATATTTCCCACAGGCTCTGTCTGCATAGGGTGTACACTGCGTTTTTAAATTGCCCGCGGCGTTTGTGTATTGCGTAATAGGTACTGGGACCCCCCCCCGTTATCAAGAAGAAAAACAAAAAGATTCTCATCCGAGCGCACTTATATTCACATAATTGTTGTGAAAGACACCATGGTTTATTGCAATCCAACTCCTGTGGTGCACTAGCAACAAGCCGACAAGGTTGCCACAGCGTGATTAGCCGTTTAGGTGCGCTTGCATGAACCGCTTTTGTTAAAAACGTGTGAGCATGTAATTTGCAACGCATGGGCTTTTTCGTAATATCTAGGAGTAATACTTATTATATATCATGGGCGTAGCCAGGGGGGGTGCGATGGGTGCGATCGCACCCCCCCATAACCTTTGAAAATATGACCATTGGATAGAGGAAGAACAGAGCTTTAAAATGCTTTTTATTTGAAGCTTCTAGCTCAATTTTGAAGGAAGTTGCATCAATTTTTGTAAAATTCAAAAGAAATCTTAATTTTTTGTGTTGCTTATGCCAAAATCGCACCCCCCCCCCTGACCGAAAACTGAAATTTTTTCGGCGATCGCACCCCCCCCCCTGACTGAAAGCTGGCTACGCCCCTGTATATTATGCAGTGCACTCGTCCGCGGGCAGTTTAAATCGCAGCCCTAGAGTTACAAGGGTCTTGGTACAAGATTAGAAGCGTAACAAAAGGACGATCTCTTGTTGATGCTTTTTAATTATTACATATTTTTCACTTAATTAGTCAAACGTATGTCACAATTATTTATTGAACATTATTAAGCAGCTCTTTGTTGTCAAGATCGATTCGAAATATCTATCATACTTCTTTAAACAAACCTTTAATTTGTGATGTTTTAAATCAAATATATTCGAGGTTTTACCGCACTTTAAAAAGTGCTATATTGTCGTCTTCTTGTATTACACTGGGCGGGCGAAGTCTATGGCCACACGAATCTTGACATCAAAATTTCAGGAAAACTGTTTGTCCGTTCAACTGGACATTTTTACAGAAGCGAGAGCGAGTAGTGCTAAGATCTGATTGGGTTGTTGGAATGCTGGGGAAATTAAACGGCGGCCATTTGCCTTAAAGGCCAACGGCAGTCCACTTCGATCCAGTCACTGGGAATACACTCGATTACGCTGGTTACCGAAACGGTTCGTTTCGCTAACAAAATGTCGAAACGTCGAAGGTACGATTTTTCTTTTTTCCTTATTTCACACGTTGTAGGCAGAATTCACACGACATTTTTATCACAAACGTGTATCAGTATCATTCAGTATCATATGTTTAGGAAAATGTACATGTTTGGAGCAAATAGTTCAGAAGACAACAAT